TTTTATCATGGGATCTATGCTTTTCACATATTGCATCACTTTTTTTTTATGAGGAATCTTCTAGAGGCTGTGCAAATTGTGTTTTCAAGTAATTGTACTTCTTGGATAATCTTGTGGGTCAAGGTTTTTGATTTTTTGATCTGTGTTAGATCTATTTGTTGATCTGTGTTAGATCTATTTGTTGATCTGTGTTAGATCTATTTGTTGATCTGTGTTAGATCTATTTGTTGATCTGTGTTAGATCTATTTGTTGATCTGTGTTAGATCTATTTGTTGATCTGTGTTAGATCTATTTGTTGATCTGTGTTAGATCTATTTGTTGATCTGTGTTAGATCTATTTGTTGATCTGTGTTAGATCTATTTGTTGATCTGTGTTAGATCTATTTGTTGATCTGTGTTAGATCTATTTGTTGATCTGTGTTAGATCTATTTGTTGATCTGTGTTAGATCTATTTGTTGATCTGTGTTAGATCTATTTGTTGATCTGTGTTAGATCTATTTGTTGATCTGTGTTAGATCTATTTGTTGATCTGTGTTAGATCTATTTGTTGATCTGTGTTAGATCTATTTGTTGATCTGTGTTAGATCTATTTGTTGATCTGTGTTAGATCTATTTGTTGATCTGTGTTAGATCTATTTGTTGATCTGTGTTAGATCTATTTGTTGATCTGTGTTAGATCTATTTGTTGATCTGTGTTAGATCTATTTGTTGATCTGTGTTAGATCTATTTGTTGATCTGTGTTAGATCTATTTGTTGATCTGTGTTAGATCTATTTGTTGATCTGTGTTAGATCTATTTGTTGATCTGTGTTAGATCTATTTGTTGATCTGTGTTAGATCTATTTGTTGATCTGTGTTAGATCTATTTGTTGATCTGTGTTAGATCTATTTGTTGATCTGTGTTAGATCTATTTGTTGATCTGTGTTAGATCTATTTGTTGATCTGTGTTAGATCTATTTGTTGATCTGTGTTAGATCTATTTGTTGATCTGTGTTAGATCTATTTGTTGATCTGTGTTAGATCTATTTGTTGATCTGTTGTTGAAAATCTCTCTCTCTCTCTCTCTCTCTCTATTTGTTGATGAACATGTTGATCAAGGTTTTTAATTTTTTGGTCGGGGAATTTCAGGGTCAGGGAAACCCGATCCCCGCTAGGGGACGGGGATGGGGGCGGTTATGGGTTCCCTGTCGGGGATCGGGATCGGGGACGGGGGTAATTTCACCATCAGGGATCGGAGACGGGGAGTGTGATCCCCGGCCCCGCCCCGCCCCGTTGCCATTCCTATTGAGAATGCCACTAATGATGAATCCTCGGGGAGTGAAGATGAAGAACTTCAACAAACATATCAAAAGTTGTATAAGAAGTCTCTTAACTTATCCAAATTGAATGACAAACTCACTACAAAACTCAAAGCATGTGAAAGTGAGAATATCAAATTAAAGAAAGAGATTTCCGAGGCTAGGAATGATGTCCTTAAGATTTCTAATGATCGACAAGCTCTTTGTTCAAAACTCTTGACTTGTGAGACAGAGAGGGATAAGCTACAACAAATCTTTGCAACATATGAAGAAAAGATTGAAAGTCTCGAGATGTCTCAAGTTGCCTTGGAGGAGCTAATCATCAAGAAAGAGGAAGAACTCAAGTGTGCAATGACTACCATTGGTCTTTGGAACAGAGGATCAAAGACTTTGGACAATATCATTGGGTCTCAACATATTTGTTCTAACAAGAGTGGCATTGGCTTTGGTGGTAAGAAAGAGCAAAAACAGAGTGCTTCCACATCTCATGATACAAGAACTCAAGGAAAGGGAGAACAAAAAATTCAACATGAGAATGGACTTCTCAAACTTCCTAGAGTTGATAAGACCAAAGAAAAGAAGGTACACTTGTTTTTATTTGTCATCATTGTGGTATGCATGGTCATATTCGCCCTTATTGTTATAAGTTGCATGGGAAAGTGTATTTGCCTAGACCTAGGAATAGAAAGTTGGAAACTATGTCGAGACGGGTTCCTATTGTAAGGGAAAGGAACCACAACGTCAAGACACCACCCAAGAACCGCAATGCTCACAACTTTGTTTATACTAAAGCGGTTTGGGTGAGAAAACTTGGCTTGTGTTAATTTGTTTATTTTTTTTAGTTTTTGGGTTTCTGTGTGTTTTGTTTTTTTAAAGAGGAAAAAAATGTGTGCATGTTCATTTTTTGTCTTGCTTTGGTTAAGGGAGGGAAAAAAAAAAACAAAAAGATTTTCTTAGTATGGTTTTGCAAGCTTAAAATTTTTTGAGTGGTCCTTGGTGCATATTGGAATTGATAAGAATATCCATTACATGTTAATATTTGTGTGCTTTCTGTGGTCATTATTCATTTTGGAGTGTGTTTTTTGATTAGTATGTCTCATTCTGTACACACTCTTGGATTAACAACTATTGGAGTCTTCCGCCTTAGTGATTTTTTTTTTTTGGACTTCTGTCATTGATCTTTTGCCTTTCTAGAGGAATTGACCTATACTAGCATATCATGGGTGATGTTGAGTCTCTTAACCATCTTCCATCTTTTTGCATCTCCACGGCTTTTCCCCTCTATTCTTTGTAGTCCAGCCATGAGGAAAAGGCTACCTCAGAGTCACCAACCAGGTCATCCTTATTATATCCATGCTTCTTTGGTTCGGTTTCCATACTCTTGAGCGTGTTAGCCGCCAATGACTGTGCAAAAGAAAGAAAAAATATGCAAAAAATAAAAAATAAAAAATAAAACGTGCAAAAGAAAGAAAAGAAAAAGATATGAAAAAAAAAGAAAAAAAAAAAAAGGGATTCATTGATTGAGGGGGAGCCTCCGCTTTTACTCACCAAATACCCCTTGATTCCTAGTGGTTTGACTTTCCTTAGTTGTGCTTAGATTCTCTTGTCTTAGGTCTAGCTTTCATATCACTGCTAGGATTTGAATCTAGTGTTTGTCGAACTCCAAGAGTCACACACACACTTTTATCATAGGATCTATGCTTTTCACATAATGCATCACTCTCTTTTATGAGAAATCTTCTAAAGGCTGGGCGCATTGTGTTTTCAAGTAATTGTACTTCTTGGATAATCTTGTGTGTTTCAAGGTACAAATCTGAAATTCCTTGCTTGCTCCACCATATTATTTTTGTCGGTTTCTTCTTGTTCATTATTTTCAGTACAGTGTTTGTGGTTGCTTTGAGTGAGAGGGAGTTTGGTTTATCATTGTCAAAGTTTGTTAGCATAAACACTTTGATTTGTTTGGTAAGGGAGATTGGCTTTAGTTGGTTTGCATGATGCTATGCACTATTTCTTTATTATTTCCTTATTGCATCTTGCTTTAGTTAATTGAGCTTCCTTTGTCAATTCGTGACAAAAAGGGGGAGAAAGTTGTTTTTCATGTATTCATGTCATGTGACGGGTGCATGTGTCGGGTGCATGTGTCTTAGTTTTCATGTTTTCATGCTACATGTTCTTAAAATCTCCAATTTTCATCTATTCATTTTTTTATCTCATGCTTCAAGATAATCTAGTCATATGTTTATTGTTTTTTTTACTCTTGTGGGACTAATAGTTGTTTTGGAGTTTGTGGCATTAATAGTGTTTTTGCAGATCTTGATTGTTAGAAAGAAGTTTGTTTTTGTTGGCTGTAATGGGTTGGGGTGTTTAGAATTTTATTTGTTAGGTGTGTTTTGTCACAGCATTGCCAAAAAGGGAGATTGTTAAGTTTTTATTCTTGGTAATCCCGTTTGACAAAACTCCTTTTAATTGTATTTGTTTTCGCACTTTTATTTCAGTGAGGCTATGAGTTTATTAGATGCAAATCCAACCCGAATCGAGCCTTGCAGAGAAGTTTGTGATGTTAATGCTTTCAAGATTGCCACTTCACTAATTATGACTGGGGTCGAGCTGCCCGGTCAGCTCGCGCCAGAAGCAAAATACAAAATTGCATTCAAAGTTGGCTGTCCGCCCTTGCTTGCTCGAGTGAAGAAGTCCTCGCTCGAATGAAGGATTGCGTCTATACAAAAACCTGAAAGAGCTCATTGTTCAATGAGGCGAAGGGTTCGTGGCTCGAGCGAAGGCACTAGTGGAAATCACGCGCGTAAAGGTTCTCGCTTGAGCAAGAGAAGCTTCGCTCGAGCGAGCTTCAAAATCCCGATTTCTATAAGGAATTGGTTTTCTTCCAAAACTAGGATTACTTTGGATTTCTATAAGTAGTTGGTTTTCTCCCAAAAACTTTATTTACTCCTCCAGATCTTCTTTTTGGATATTAAGGTTTATATCTGGGGATATTTTGCTGGTTTGCTTTGATGTTTTGATTGAGTATTCAACTCATGGTTTAAAGAGTATACATCAAAGAATTGTTTGTTCATTCTATACAAAAAAGAGAGTTGTTCTTCGGTGGATTCTGAAGAATTTGAGCCTGAAGCTTTGGTGGATTCTGGAGTGGCTCATCGTCAAGACAATTCCGAGGTGAAGACGAGGTTGGAAGAGACACATAGAGGTTGGTTCAATTCGGGCGTGGATTCACTAGGTAATTAAGAGTATACTTGTGTAATTCCTTTATGTCTTTTTAGTGGATTATTTTGTGGATTTTGCCCGTGATTTTTTATCACAATTGAAGGTGTCCAATTGTGATTTTTTCACGTAAAATCGTTGTGTCGATTTGTCTTGATTATTTGATTGAAATTGTTATATGCTGCTTAAAATTGATACATAATCACAAATCAACCTCTAGAGAATTTCTAGATTTTTCAATTTGATTCAAAATCTGCAAGTAGGAACAAACTCCTAAAGTGGGATGGAAAGACCATACGATATGCAGATACCCTAATGGCTACATTCGGTCAAACTCCAGACGTCCATTTCTACCGCTGCCGTCAATGCAATACCCACCTTGTCTTGACCAAAAATTTTATGCGTAACTTCACAGTAAAATCTCTCTCTCTCTCTCTCTATATATATGTGATTGTTAAGAATAACAGAACCATCACAATGTCATCTAAATTCGCAAGATTTTCCATGTCGTTGTAGCTAGAGTTGTTCAAATCAATTCTTTTTATGATGTTAAAAATGTTGTAGTACAAGGCTTATCTGATTATGGAATTATCAAAAGTTCTTGTTTGTTACTACTGCATTGCAGAACAATTGTACACTCATATACTGATTCTATTTTTTGGAGACCAAGATGGGTCTGTGTGCATTTTGAACCAATAATAAATAATTTCTCAAAGATTTGTAGAGGAAAAAGTAAAGGGAAGTGATTTCCTTATGCAAATCCCTTCACAAATTCCAGATACAAACACAATCTAAAGCATCACAAAGATGGGTCAGTGTGTGAGTTTTGAACCAATAATATATCTAATCTGTACTCATATTAGCTTGAATTAGATTGCAAGAAAAATATGTATATATCTGTACATATAAACATATATATTGCTTTTAGCATATGGCGATTTCATATAAACATATTTTCCTTTTTTTTAAAAAAAAATTTGAAAGCAGAAAGCAAGTTTATGTTCTAATTGTTGTTTCAATCTGCTTTCCAGGACGTAATGATTGATGATCCGGGCATCTTTGCAAATGTGTAAGTTAATCATCATTAATACAATCATCATTAATACAATTCTATGAAACTTCAACCAAAGCACGACTTAGTTTCCAGGATATGATCTCTCTCTCTCTCTCTCTTCTTTGTTTGTTGTGCCTTGGTTGGTTCGAATTATGCATCAATACCTGTACTGTGCGTGTTAATAATAACAGAACCATCATATTTCCAATATAAACTTGCAAGATTTGCATGTTTTTCTTGTTAAAATTGTTCCAATTTTGAGGGTTTAATTCTGTTATTGATGTTATCAAGAAATGTTTTGTATAATGCTTGTTGATTATGGTATTAGGAGCAATGGGTGGTGGTTTCTTCGAGGCTAGGGTTCTCGATATTCTTGCATTGAAGAACAATATGTGTGTGTGTTTTGAACCTATATAATTTCTCAAAGTGGCCATGATCAACTGATCATGTATTCATGTAACTTTTGTTTTCAATCTGCTTTGCAGGACATAGTGATGATCGAGGGGGGCATCTTCAAAGATGTGTAAGATCTCATCTTTCATGCAATTTTTTCTTTTAGACTTCTTATTACAGATTAGTTATGAATTCTTATTAAAGATTAGTGCTGGACATAAATTCTGATCCCTTTTGTAATCAGCACAACAAATGCAATTTGGACCAACTGTTGATCATCTTTTTGCATTGCATTTGATTTTGTGGCCACTTTTAATACTGTGTTTTGCAGTGAGAATGTGGATGTTGCTGACCCAGCACATAATCGAATGGATCCTACTAACAAGGCTGCCGATGTTGACTGTAGCATTTGCAAGAGCATTTTGGGTTGTAAATATGTAAGAATCACAAAGTTTTTACCCCCCCTCCCCCTTTTTATTTTATAGATTTTATATTTATTTTTTTCTTACATACTGACTAAAAATCTTCTAACAAAATTATACTATTATATGGTTAGATTGAAGTGCCAGAGGAAACCGATGTGGTTAAGACTGGAAGATTCCTACTGCATATGTAAGTTTTGAAATAAATAAATACTGCTATAGTTCAACAGTTTTGCTAGGTGCAAAGAAAAGTACAGTCCATGCACCAATTCTGCGCACTATGTTATTTTTGTTTTTTTTTTTGGTTTTTTTTTTTTTTTTTTGGTATACTTCAATTTTGATTTTTTTCTTATGGATTTGATTCAAAATCTGCGATTAGGAACAAGTTCCTGATATGGGATGGAAGCAACATGCTGTTCGCAGATACACTGACGGTTACATTCCATCGAACTCCAAATGCCCTTTTTCTCCTCTGCCGTCGATGCAATACCCACCTTTGCCTTGGCTGATCGTTTTATGCGCCTCATCGTAGTAAGATTCTCTCTCTCTCTCTCTCTCTCTCTGCTTGTTAATAACAACAGAAGCCATCTAAACTTGCAAGATTTGAATGTCTCTGTTGTTAGAGTTGTTCAAAATTTGAGGGTTCAATTCTTTTTATGATATTATTCAAGAAATGTTGTAGTACAAGGCTTATTAGATTCTGGAATTTTTCGGAGGTCACCGTTCTTGATATTATGTCTAAGGGTTGTGTTTGGAGGTAGGATTTGTGGAAGGATTTATAGAGGGAAAAGGAAAGGGAAGTGATTTCCCTTTGCAAATTGCTTCACAAATTCAAGATCCAGACACAACCTAAACATGCAATCATGGTTCAGTGTGTGCATTTTGAACCAAGAAAAATAAGTATATTTGTTACAGTGGAATGCATTGGTTGAACTAATGTAAGATTACGGTGGCTGCATTCCTTTTTACCAAACAGTTACTATTTGTTGTTATCTACTTGGGTTTGTTTGTTTTTTAAAAAGCAAGTCTGTGTTCTTGTTGCTGTTTTCAATTTGCTTCTCAGGACAATAGGGGCATCTTTGAAAAAGTGTTAGTTATCATTATTAATACAAATCTATGGAACTTCTTTAGTGGGCAGAGATCATTATGAATTCTGATTAACAATTAGTGAACAGCACAACAAATGCAATTTGGACTTCTATTACTAAGAATTTTAATATTCAATGACCAATATGATCATCTTCTTGCTAATCTGTATTGCATTTTCTTTAGTGGCAACTTTAATCATGTGCTTTGAAGTGTCGACGTGGATGTCTCCAAAGTACATTATCGAATGGAGCGTACTAACATGGTTACTGATGTCTACTATAACGGTTGCAAGAAGTTTTTGGGTTTTAAATTTGTAAGAAACACAAAGTTTCTACCAATTTTGAGATTCTCCATATATCTCTATTCCTACATTGACTAAAAATCTTCTAACAAAACTATACTATTATATGTTTAGGTTTTAGTGCCAGTGGAAACCAGGTAGTAAAGACCTGAAGATTCCTACTGCATTTGTAAGTTTTGAAACAAATAAATACCACTAATTTCTGTTCACATAGTTTTTATTTATTTATTTATATATATACTTAAATTGAGTTTCTTATCGATTTGATTCAAAATCTGTGAATAGGGAAAAGCTGCTGAGGTGGGATGGAAACAATTTGGTGTATGGACATACAATTGAACTTGTTGAAAATGCTTGAATAGACAGACGGTAGAGAAGACGTTCACAATGACAACTGATGAAGAATTCATATATACATGTAGTATCAAATTCATCCATTTTTTTGTTACTCTTAAAATTCTGATTTAATGTTTCTCTAGTTCATGAGACACTCTATACAGAGCAAGAGGCATGAAGCTAGTAGTTGTTTTTAGACTAAAGGGATTGTTTGGTGTAAGATTTTTTTCCACTGTTTAGGATAAGTGCTTTTTATGTGTGTACTAATATTATTACAATAGAAAGCAAATTTTAGACAATGTTTGAAGAATAGCTTTATCTGCTCATATTTTGCAATTAGCTTTACTTTCTATTATTTGTTCTTTTCTTCTTCTTTGTTTTTTTCTTTTTCCTATGCAATTCAAAGTAAGGATTTTGAACATCTGTGTTTGGATAGAGAGAAATTAGAGGAATGTTAGTGAGAAAATTACAAACTAAAAGATTAGAACTTCGTAAATTGTCTGTTAAATTGCACGACATGAATAATAGAAATGGAAAATGCTAAAAGAAATTTGACAACCCTTTTAGGCATATGCATAGCTTCAAATGAAGTACTGCTCTTAAAGTTCACATAGAATGAAACATGTGTAGGACACCTTCCAAATAAAGAGTCCCAAAGAAATTTTATACTGTTAAATTGTGCTTTTTACGCATTTAAGATTTTTATTATATTTTTCAGAAGAATCACATACTGAATTGAGTTTAATAAAATTAGTTCAAAAGTTTTAGAAAAAGCATTTATTCAACTTAAAAGTGAAGATCTAAAATATAAATAAGAAAATGAGGCAACATATGAGCAAACATACTTGGGTGTAAAACTGAGTTTGCCTTGTTGCCATAGGCATTAATTCTGGAGGTTCGGGTATTGGCTTCTTTTTTCTTTTTTTTTTTCTTCTTTTTTGGGTATGGGGATTTTGGTATTGCTTTTCTAGCTTTTTCGTGGGGTTTCATCGTTACAGTTGATGCTTCTTTTTGTTGGGATTCAGCACTTGGGATGACTAAAGTTTTTTGCTTGTAACATATAGAGACTTTACGTCTATTGTTTATTTACCTTATTTATTTGCATGTCCCAAGTTGTTAAGACTTTATTTGGATCTTAGATTCTTGGAAGGGTAAAAAACAAGTGAATGAAATAGAAGCAAAATCTCTTCTTTTTCTTTTTCCTTCTTTTATTTATTTTTTGAATTTTCTCTTCCTTTTTCTTTCCTCACAAATTTGGGATCCAAAGAAGCATGTCCATGACCAAACAAATTTTTTTTTGGAGGAGGACCATCCATCTCTACTAATTCATTGTCATTTGCAACTTCAATTTTTTGTGTGCTAATTGCTTAGAAGATCTGTTTCTATTCGATTCATTTAAAACTTTGCAACTTTAACTATGCTGTTTGTTTTTTTTTTTGTTTTTTTTTTTTGCGAAGACTATCCAAATATTTTAATCATTCGTTTTATAAAGACATTAAAACTCAGTAAGTCAGCTTGTGAAAAGCCACTCAACAAACTCACTTATAAACTTACACGTTAGCCCACCAAAATATAAAAATAGTTGTGATGGAATGGAATCCCTCACCTTACTCTTTATGACAAAATATTATTTTTCAATTGTAAAATGTACTATGTGCCAATTTGTAAATTTTCTTCAATTTTATACATATTTAAAAAAATAAAAAATAAAAAAACTGAAACGTTTCAAATTTAGACCATCAGCCCATCGGCCTGGGCCAAGCTTGCTGGAAAGGACCTGGGTTAGGCCAGCCCACGTACAGACTTAAAAGAAGAGAAGTAGAGGGTAAAAAAAATAGAAAAGAAAAGAACGAAGGGGGTGTAATTCTGAGGGTACAGCTCAGCCATTGTGGTGCGCACTGTACCATATACTCCACACTAGAAACTGTCATTTTGGCAGTTAACTGAACCCTGCTCTCTCTCTCACTTCAGAGTTCTTGCTGAGCCTATCTATATATACTTGTGGCTTTACAAATTCAGAGCTATTTAAATTCCTCATACTCTCTCTCTCTCTCTCTCAAGAACCTGACTCACTGCCCACATTGATTCCTCTGTTTTGGTAAGTATAAATTCAACTTCTCATTTTATGCCAACCCCATGCTCTGTCACATATTCATTCTAGTACAATTTGAACTGTTTAGTTCTTCATATAGTCCCAATAATAACTTTCTTGATTTTGATTTATCTGCTCCTCTGGCTGAAGAAGAGTTGGTGCTTTCGAAGCTGTTTTGAGGATGGATCAAGAAGAAGACCCAGATGACCCATGCTACCTCTGCCGCCAATGCGGGTACGACATTACAGACATCGACCAGTTAGTTTCCAAGGTATGATCTCTCTCTCTCTTCTTTGTTTGTTGTGCTTTGGTTGCTTAGAATTATGCATCAATTTCTGTACTGCACGTGTTAATAATAACAGAACCATCATAATTCCAATATAAAGTTGCAAGATTTGCATGTCTTTGTAGTTAAAATTTTTCCAATTTTGAGGGTTTAATTCTTTTTATGATGTTATCAAGAAATGTTTAGTATGAGGCTTGTTGATTATGGTATTACGAGCAATGGGGGTGTTTCTTGATATTCTTGATATTGATTCTGAATTTTTTTAAGGTTAGGGTTCTTGCATTGAAGTACAATCTGTGTGTGCATTTTGAAACAATATAATTTCTCAGAACTTTCCCATCATTCATGTAACTTTTGTTTTCAATCTGCTTTGCAGGATATAGTGATGGAGGCGGGCATCTTCAAAGATGAGTAAGATCTCATCGTTAATGCAATTTTTTTTTTTTTTTAAACTTCTCGTTAAAGATTAGTTTTAACTTCTTACTAAAGATTAGTGATAGACATAAATTCTGATCTCTGTTGTAATCATCACAACAAATGCAATTTGGACTAATCTTGATCATCTTTTTGCTAATCCCCATTGCATTTGATTTGGTGGCAACTTTAATACTGTGTTTTGCAGTGACTATAAGGATGATGGTGGTGACCCAGCATATAATCGAATGGAGGGTACTAACGAGGTTTATGATGTTATCTGTACTGAGTGCGACAGCCTTTTGGGTTGGAGATTTGTAAGAATCACAAACTTTCTACTTTTTTTTTTTTTTTTTTGAGGTTGTATATTTATCTCTTCTTGCATATTACCTAAAAATCTTCTAACAAAATTATATTATTATATGTTTAGATTAAAGTGTCAGAGGAAACCGATGTACTTAAGACTGGAAGAGTACAAGCGCATTTGTAAGTTTTGAAGCAAACAAATACCGCTATAGTTCAACAGTTTTGCTAGGTGCACTTTGTTTTTTGTTTTTTTTTTTATTTGTTTATTTATTTAATTATTTGTATACTTCAATTTTGAGTTTTTTTTTTCTTCTCATGGATTTGATTCAAAATCTGCGATTAGGAACAAGCTCCTGATGTGGGATGGAAGCGAGATGCTGTATCCAGATACACTAATGGTTACATTCAATCAAACAACAGCTGCCCATTTCTTCCTCTGCCGTCAATGCAGTACCCCCCTTGTCTTGGTTAGCGATTTAATGCATCTCATCCCAGTAAGATTCTCTCTCTCTCTCTCTCTCTCTCTCTGCTTGTTAATAATAACAGAAGTCATCTAAACTTGCAAGATTTGAATGTCTTTGTTGTTAAGATGTTCATATTTTAAGGGTTCAATTCTTTTTTATGATGTTATTCAAGAAATGTGGTAGTACAGATCGTTATTTGATTATGAAATTATCAAAAGTTCTTGTTTGTTATACACCTGCATTGAAGAACAATCGTAGACTCATATACTGATTCCGAACTTTTGGAGACCAAGATGGGTCTGTGTGTCTTGAATCAATAATATATAATTTTTCAAAGATCATCTAAATCTGATCTTGTATTTATATGAGCAAAAGTTCTTAGGATCCACTGATTCTGCAATGTTTTGTTGGTTACGGTTTTTGATATTATATCTAAGCATTGTGTCTGGAGTCAGGATTTGTGGGAGGATTTATAGAAGGAAAAGAAAAGGGAAATGATTTCCCTCTGCAAAACATTCACAAATTCAAGATCCAAATACAACCTAAAGAATGATGAACATGATTCAGTGTGCGCGTTTTGAACTAAGAAAAATCTGTATATCTGTACATAGAAACATGGTTCAGTGTGCCTGTTAAGAATATGGTGATTCATGTTACAGTGGAATGCGTTGGTTGAACAAATGTCATATTACAATGGCTTTAATCCATTTTACCAAACAGCTACTATTTGTTATTATATCTACTTGGGATTTTTTATTATTATTATTATTATTATTATTGTTATTTATTTTTTAGAGCAAGTCAGTGTTCTTATTGCTGCTTTCATTCTGCTTTTTAGGACATAATGATCAACGCAGGCATCTTTCGAGATGTGTAAGTTATCATCATTAATACAATTCTATGAAACTTCTTTGGTGGGCAGAGATTGCTCTGAATTCTGATTAATGATTAGTGACCAGCACAACAAATGCAATTTGGACTTTTGTTACTAAGAATTTTAAAGTTCAATGACCGATCTGATCATCTTCTTGCTAATCTGTGTTGCATTTTCTTTGGTGGCAACTTTAATCCCTTGTTTTGCAGTGTCAACGTGGATGTTGCTGGCGAAGCACATTATCGAGCAGAGGATGCTAACGTGGTTACTGATGTTAACTGTAAAGGTTGCAGGAAGCTTTTGGGTTGGAAATTTGTAAGAAACACAAAGTTTCTACCAATTTTGAGATTCTCTATATATCTATTCTTACATTGACTAAAAATCTTCCAACAAAACTATACCATCATATGTTTAGGTTTTTGTGCCAGTGCAAACCAAGGAGGTTCAGACCGGAAGATTCCTACTGCATTTGTAAGTTTTGAAACAAATAAATACCACTAACTCTGTTCACATAGTTTTATTTATTTATTTAGATATATATACACTTCAATTGAGTTTCTTATCGATTTGATTCAAAATCTGTGAATAGGGAAAAGCTGCTGAGGTGGGATATAAATGATGAACCTGTTGAAAATGCTTGAATAGGTAGTAGATAAGACATTCGCAATAACAACTTATGGAGGACTCATATATGCATGTAGTATCAAATTCATCCATTTTTTTGTTCTCTTAGAATTCTGATTTGGTGTTTTCTCTAGTTCACGCGATACTCTATATGGAGCAAGGGGCATAAAGTTAATAGTTAATAGTTGTTTTTGGATAAGCACTTTTTATGCGTGTACTATAATTTTTGTTACAATTGAAAGTTGATTTTAAACCATGTTTGAAGTAGCTTATCTGCATATATTTTGCAATTAGCTTTACTTTCAATAATTTGTTCTGTTTTCTTTCTATGCAATTCAATGTAAGGATTTTGGACGTGTGTTTGGATAGAGAAATTAGGGGAATCAGTGAAAAAGTTGCAGACTAAAAGATTAAAATTTCATAAATTGTCTGTTAAATTGCATGACATTAATATTGGAAATGGAAATGGCTACAAGAAATTTAACAACCCTTTAAGGCATGTATATAGCTTCAAATGATGTACTGCCCTTGAAGTTTATATAGCATGAAACATTTGTAGAACAGCTTCCAAATAAAGAGTCCCAAATAAATTTTATACTATTGAATTGTGTTTTTTATGCATTTAAGGTTCTTCTTAGATTTTTCAAAGAATCACATATTGAATTGAGCTTAATAAAACCAATTCATAAGTTCTAGAAAAAGGCATTGTTCAACTTGAAAGTAAAAAATCTAAAATATAAATAAGAAAATGAGGCAACACATGATCAAACTTGCCTGGGTAGTTTGCCTTGTTGCCATAGGCATTGGCTCTGGGGGTTTTGGGTATTGTTGTTTCTTCTTCTTCTTCTTCTTCTTCTTTTTAAATTTTTTTCTTTTTTGGTGGGTCTGGGAATTTTTTGTAGTTGAATAGATGGGAGTGTGAGAGAAAATTTGCTAACCAAAAATGTTTTTGATTTTTTAATCCAAATGTTAATTTAAAAACTAAACCAAAGGTTGCCAAAATCTCTTCCTCTTGTTTTTGCTTTTGGAATTTTCCTTCCTCTCTCTTTCATCAGAAATTTGGGATCCAAAGAAGCATGCCCATGACCAAAAATTGAGGTGGGGGAGGAGGAAAAATATCCATCTATTGTTGCTCGTTCATCAACAATGGTAGAGGGCCCAAATTTTGTGGCTCAAATGGCCAAAACGACGTCGTTTTGAGTACAAAACAACATCAAAATGGCCAAAACGACGTCGTTTTGGCCATTTGAGCCATATTTGAGCCACAGAATTAGGGCCCCCAAATATTTTTCCTCGTTCATTATTCACAATCTGAATAATTTTTTGTATGCCTAGAAGCTTTGGTTCAATTTGACTCCTTTAGAACTTTGTAACTTCAACTGTGTTGTGATTTTTTTTAGTAAAGACAATATCCAAGTATATATAATTATTTATTTCATAAAAATATTAAAACTCGACAAGTTAACATGTGAAAAGTCACTCAACAAACTTGTCTATAAACCTACACATTAGCCCACCAAAATCGAAAAAATATGTATATGCAATGGTGGAATCTCTCACCTCACTCTTTATGACAAAATATTATTTCTCAATTATAAAATATGTTATGTGTCATTCTATAAATTTTATAGTATATTTTTATAGATATTTTAAATAAAAAAATTTAAAACATTCAACTTTAGAAAAAGTTATTTGGTGGGTGCAAAGCCAAGTGTTGCTCTAAGATTCTTGTAATTGGTGAAAAGGACCAGGACTATGATTGTGTATTGGGTCAGAGAAAAGTGTAGGAGATGACATTTGGTGATTGGTAGGAGTATTATTAACCATCTAATAATTTTTTCAACAATATTATAAACTCTGGAAAAAAAAAGGAAAATGTTTCGTAATTCAAATTTTGTGACTCAAAAGTGGTTCAAATGGCCAAAATGACGTCATTTTAGCCATTTTTATGTTGTTCTGTACTCAAAACGACGTCGTTTTGACTATTTGAGCCACTTTTGAGCCACAAAATTTGAGTTACGTAGCATTGTCGAAAAAAAAGTACAACCTTACTCATCTCTGAATGGTCCAGAAAGAAAAAAATAATAAATAAAATATATGATTGGTCCACTTCATTTTGGAGGTTATGGGTCCCAACTTTGAATTCCCAACATTTTTTTTTAATTTTTCGGAATTAGGAACGTGGTCTGCCTGGGCCAAGCTCGCTGACATGGGCTTACATTTTAGGCCCAAGGCGAGCCCACTGACGGATTTAAAGAAATAAGTGGAGCTGCAATTGTGGTGCACAGTGTACCATATACTCCACACCTCAAACTGTCATTTTGGCGGTTAACTGAACCCTATTCTCTCTCTCTTTCTCTCTCTCTAACCTCAGCCTATCTATCTATATATACTTCCGGCTTTACCAATCCCATTGAGAGCTACTTAAATTCCTCAGTTCTTACTCAGCCTATGTATCAATTCAACTTCTCATTTTGGTCCAACCCATGGTCTGTTTCGTATTCATTCTAAAATTCAATCTGTTTATTTCTTCATAATCCCAATAATAACTTTCTTGAATTTGATTACTTGCTCTGGCTGAAGAGTTGGTGCTTTCAAATCAGTTTGAAGATGTTTCAAGAACCAGGTGTCTGTTTCTACCGCTGCTGCCAATGCAGTACCACCCTTGCATTCACCGACCACTTAGTTTCCAAGGTATGATCACTCTCTCTCTCTCTTCTTTGTTTGTTGTGCTTTGGTTGCTTTGAATTATGCATCAATTTCTGTACTGTGGGTGTTAATAATAACAGAACCATCATAATTCCAATCTAAACTTGCAAGATTTGCATGTCTTTGTTGTTAAAGTTGTTCCAATTTTGAGGGTTTATTTCTTTCATGATGTTATCAAGAAATGCTTAGTGGTAATTAAGGCTTGTTGATTATGGTATTACAAGTAATAGGCGATGGGTTTCTTCATATTATTGATATTGATTAATATTGATTCTGAATTTTTTTGGAGGTTAGGGTTCTTGATATTCTTGCATTGAAGAACAATATGTGTGTGTGTTTTGAACCAATATAATTTCTCAAAGTGCTTCAAGATTGTAACAAAACTGCCCATCATCATCTGATCATGTATTCATGAACCAATCTGCTACAGGACATAGTGAAGGAAGCGGCCATCTTAACAGATGTGTAAGATGCTCATCTTTAATGCAATTTTTTTTAAAACTTATTTTTAACGATTTGTTATGAGTTCTTATTAAAGATTAGTGCTAGACACAAATTCTGATCTCTGTTGTGATCAGCAAAACAAATGCAATTTGGATGAATCTTGATCATCATTTTGCTAACCTGCATTGTATTTGATTTGGTGGCAACTTTAATCCTGTATTTTGCAGTCAGAATGTGACTGCTGCTGGCCCTTATCAAATTGACAGTAATAACTTGGTTGCTGATGTTACCTGTAACGGTTGCAACAGCCTTTTGGGTTGGAAATATGTAAGAATCACAAAAGTTCTTTTTTTTTTTTTTTTGAGATTCTATATTTATCTTTTCCTACAAAATGCTACTATATGTTTAGGTAAGAGTGCCACAGAGAAACTACGCAGTTCAGCCCAGAAGATTCCTATTGCAGTTGTAAGTTTTGAAACAAATAAATACAGCTATTTTTTCTTTTTTTTTTTTTGCTAAGTGCACAGAAAAGTACAGTCCATGCACCAATTATGTGCTCCATTTTTTTGTTTTTTAATACTTCAATTTCGATTTTCTTATGGATTTGATTCAAAATCTGCAAGTAGGAACAAGCTTCTGATGTGGGATGGAAAGAACATGCTGTATGCAGATACACGGATGGTTACATTCCACCAAATTCCAAATGCCCGTTTCTTCCTCTGCCGTCAATGCAATACCCACATTGCCTTGAATGAAGATTTTATGATTAGAATCCCAGTAAAATCTCTCTCTCTCTCTCTGTGTGCGTGCGCGCACGCACTAGTTAATAATAACAGAAGTCAGCTAAACTTGCAAGATTTGAATGTCTTTGTTGTTAAGAGTTGTTTGAATTTTGAGGGTTCAATTCTTTTTATGATGTTATTCAAGAAATGTTGTAGTGCAAGGCTTATTTGATTATGAAATTCTCAAACGTTCTTGTTTGTTACAACTACATTCTGAAATTTTGGAGACCAAGATGGATCTGTTTGTGTTTTGAACCAACAATATATAACTTCTCAAAGTTCTTAGGATCCAGTGATTCTAATCATGTATTTTTAGGATCCACTGGAATATTTTGGAGGTCATGGTTCTTGATAATATATCCAAGGGCTGTGTTTGGAAGTAGGATTTGTGGAAGGATTTATAGAGGGAAGAGAAAAGAGAAGTGATTTGCCTATTGCAAATCGCTTCACAAATTTAAGATCCAAACACAACCTGGATATACATATACAAATATACAGGTTGCAAGAAAAATCTGTGTATCTATACGTATATATTGCTTTAAGGATATGGTGGTTCATGTTTCAGGGAATACATTGGTTGAACTAGTGTAAGATTACAATGGCTGCATTCCTTTTTACCAAGCAGTTACTATTTGCTATTCTCAACTTCGTTTTTTTGTTTAAAAAAAAACAAAAACAAAAACAAACAAAAGAAAAGAAAGCAAGTCTGTGTTCTTATTGCTGTTTTGAATCTGCTTTCCAGGACATAATGATCAATGCAGGCATCTTTGAAGAGGTGTAAGTTATCATCATTAATACAATTCTATGAAACTTCTTTGGTGGAAAGAGACAGCTCTGAATTCTGATTAAAGATTAGTGATCATCACAACAAATGCAATTTGGACTTTTATTAACAAGAATTTTAAAATTCAGTAACCGATTTGATCATCTTCTTGCTAATCTGTACAGCATTTTCTTTGGTGGCAACTTTAATCCTGTATTTTGCAGTGTCAATGTGGATGTTGCTGGCAAAGCACATTATCGAATGCAGTGTACTGACACAGTTGCCGATGTTAACTGTAGCGGTTGCAGGAAACTTTTGGGTTGGAAATATGTAAGAATCACAAAGTTTAATCCTACCATTTTTATGAGATTCTCTATATATTTATTCTTACATTGACTAAAAATCTTCTAACAAAATTATACTATTATATGTTTAGATTGAAGTGCCAAAGGAAGAAGCCATTTTCCTCAAAGCCGGAACTTTCCTGCTGCATTTGTAAGTTTTTCAGTGCATGTATGTTTTTTTGTTTTTTATACTTCAATTTTGATATTCTTATCGATTTGTTTCAAAATCTGTGAGTAGGAACATGCTCCTGAAGTGGAATGGAACAAATATGCAATGTGCAGATTACACATGGAACTGTTGAAAAATGCCTGAATTGACCGCTATGAAGACTTTCGCAATGGCTGCTGATGGAGGACTCATATACATGTACTATCAAATTCATCCTTCTTTTATTTTTGACTCTTAAAATACGGATTTGGTGTTTTCTCTGTTTCCTGCGATACTCTATACGGAGCAAGAGAGCATAGAACTATTAGTTGTTGTTGTTAGAACAAAAGGGATTGTCTGGTGCGTGATTTTTTTCCACGGTTTAGTATAAGCACCCAATACTCAATAATGGGAGCTTTCTATGCATGTACTACAATTTCTATCTTCTTATGATCTATGATGAAAATATGTCTGCTGCTGTTACAATAGAAATCATATTTTAAACTATGTTTGAAATAGCTTATCTGCATATATTTTGCAATTAACTTTACTTTCTATTATTTGATCTGTTTTCTTTCTATGCCATTTAAAATAAGGATTTTGAGCATGTGTGTTTGGACAGAGGGAAATTAGGGGAATGTCAGTGAAAAAATTGCAGAGTAAAAGATTAAAATTCATAGCTTCAAATGAAGTGTACTGCTCTTAAAGTTTGTATAGCATGAAACATCTGTAGAACAGTTTCCAAATAAAGAGTCCAAAGAAATTATGGTATTGAATGGAGCTTTTACATATTTGAGATTTTATTTTATTTTCTAGAAGAATCACATTGAGTTGAGCTTAATAAAACCAGTTCAAAAGTTCTTGAAAAGGCATTTATTCAACTTGAAAGTGAAAAATTATAAATAAGAAAATGAGGCAAAATATGAGCAAACATGCGTGGGGGTGTAGGCTGAGTTTGCCTTGTTGCCACAAGCCAATGGTTCATGGTGTTTGGTATTGCTGTTCTTTTTCTTTTTTTTTTCCTTTTTTTTTTCTTTTTCTTATATTTATTTTTTGGGTCTGGGGATTTTGGTGTTGCTTTTTTAGCTATTTCTTGGGGTTTTGTCCCTGCAGTTGATGCTATTTATTGGGATACAGCAATTGGGTTGGCTTTGTTTTTTGCCTGTAACATATCTTTGATGGGCCTATAAAATAGGTTTTTCACTAAGAAACTGTCTTCTAATAATAGAGTCCCAACCTGAATTTTTTTTCTTTCCAATGAGTCTATGGGCATAGTTCAATAACAAGTTTAAGATAAGAAATGTTTTAAAAACAAATGATAATATTAAAAATGGTTATAAAATCTATGAAAAGTGTTTTGCAATTGATTAATAGTATCTCTTGTTTTTAATTTTTTTTTTCTTGAGCCCGGGACAATTGGCGCTTTAATTTATTTGTCAAAATAAACTCATTTTTAAAAGGAACACTTGCCTGCTACTAAATCCCATACATAAAATTTAAAATTCATCTAATACTAAAATAAAATATTTGCACTAATTAGTCCTATATATTTTTAATTGTCACCAAAAAGATCTTTCTTTTTAAAAAAAAAAAAAAAACGCTACTATATTCCATCATCGCCGAACTTTTGTTAGACTGTTACCGAAGTCTCTCCGGAATGCTCAATATCACCGGGAAGTCGCCGGAGTATCGCCGAAAATTCGTCGGAATATCATTGAAGTGTTCTGAACAGAACGTTTGTTGGACGTCAAGAATATCACTGGAGAGTCACCGGAATGTCTAGAATATTGCCACAAAAAAAAATTAATAGAGAAATTAGAACGAAAAAATAAAACAAAATATGCTAAATATTGATAAACTAAAAAGGGAAGAAAAAAAAAACAACAACAATGGGAAAAAAACATATATTTTTCAATTTTTGTAGGATTTAAGTACATAATTTCCAATATTGATCAAACTGAAAAATAAGCTTTAAAACTGTAAAATGTTACAATTTCAAAGCATGATTCTATTAAGCATTTTATCCTTATTAATCAAACTGAAAAGCATGTTATAAAACAGTAAAATTTTACTATTCTAAATAATGTTATGAAATTGTAAAATTTTACAATTTTAAAGTATGATTCATTTCAACACCAAAAAAATTAAAATTGTAAAATTTTATAGTTTTCACTGTCTATAACTAAAACTTGAAAACAACTTATTTAGAATTTGAAAATTTTCTCCATTAAAATAGGAAAATAGAAATACGTAATAGAGAAAAGGTAAAAAAAATTGAGAGATCAAGGGAGAGAAACAATATAGAGAAGATTATACTCTGGCAATTATTTTTTGTTTAGATCTAGTCGAATCTAATATAGATCTACTTAGAGTAGACCTACTCATCTTTTTTGTTGGAAACTCGTCTCTTTCGCCATTGGTGAGGGTGAAATAGGACATCGATGGTTGGTGGTTGCTGATGAATCCCAATCAATGGTGGTAGTCGGTCGACGGTGACTATAAATCAAAAAGAGAAAGAGAAGAAATAAGGTGTGGTCGTCAGTGGTTGGTCGTCCGTCATCGGTCGCCGAAAATGAGGAAGAGAAAGAAGCAAAGAAGAACGAAGACAGAAAAGAACGAAGAAGAAAAATATATAGTGAACTTTTGAAAATATCTAACTAAATAAATTTCTCCTCTTTCAAATAGGATTTCCGAATAATTTGCCCATTTTAAAATTTGTTCAATTGGTTGACACTAAAAGATATCATCTGCCCTAAAGACATGTAATTCAACTAGACGAGTTAAACTAACCCATATCTTGAGCCGCCGCTAGGCTAGTTCAAATAGTGTTTGGATTGAGCCTAGACTATAGGTATTAAAGCTCGACTCCACAAGTGCACTTGTGAACCTAAACATTAGCCCACCAAAATTTTTAAAGTATGTACATGTGAAATATAGCTATGTGAATTAAGGGGGTAATTCTACGGGTACAACTCAGCAATTGTGGTGCGCACTGTACTATGTACTCTCTGTGAATTATGTAGTTTATATTATTCATTAAGGATAGTTTAGTACTTTAGGTTGTTAGGGTTTGATTCTATTAGATTATATATTTGTACTTGTTTGATTGATCATTCAAGAATAATATACATAAGTTTGTTATCATGGTATCAGAGCCACGACCCAGATGTTAGCATACCTTTCGCAGGTCATCATCGACCATCGCAGCCCCTTTCTCTCTCTTTGCAAGGCCTTGTGGTCTCTGATCTCTTCATCGCACTTCACTCTTCCTGGTTGCTGGTTCTGAGCCCTAGGTTGCGTGTCTCATTTGGTTGTGTCGGAGCGCTAGGGCATCATCGACCATCGCAGCCCCTCATCTAGTTCGATTGAAGCTCTCCCCTCATCTGGTTTGATCAAAGCTCTCTATTTCCTCTGTGTGACTTGGATTGGTGATCTCTCTGCTCTGCTTTGGTTCTCTTTGATTGATATTTGTGGTGATAACGTTATTATAAGTTTGACTTAATTGGTTCTATAATTACAGCAATAGTGACTTCGATTAGTCATTCTGCTTTGGTTTTACTATATTGCTTAATTACAGCACTATGGCTGATGATAAATTGCAAGCTATCACTACTAAGTTAGATAGTACCAATTACTCTTTTTGGTCTCATGTAATGAAAAATTTTATAATGGGTAAAGGCATATGGAACTATGTGATTGGTGTAACTATTAGACCTATGGAATCTCAAGAAACTGAAGCCGAAGTTGCTAAATGGGATAAGGAAAATGCACAAATTCTTATGTGGTTTCATAATTTAGTTCAAACTACCATTAGTATGAATTTTTCCAAGTATTCTACTTCTAAACAAGTTTGGAACTATTTGAAAATTATGTACCTTGCGTATCACGACCCAAACCCGCCCCTATAGGTTTAGCATCGTAACCAGCCAGTAATCCTTGGATTACCGAAGGCCTCTGTACAGATTAACAAAATTTAGGGGCTAGCGGAAGCAAATACGTGAATATAGTTGTCCAATGAGCTGTGCTAACTTTCATGAAACAGAGTATTTAAAACTTTATATACATATCCAATAGTCAACCACACATTATACCCACACACATTACAATATCTTAAGTACAGCCAACATAATCAAATCCAGTCTCATACATATACAGAATCAACAGGACTGAACACAGGACACTTCGGGAACCTCCACGTGAGGCGCAATGGTTGGCTGACAACAGAAACACAGTTCCAGACAAAAGCCTTCGGGCTCGATCTCCAGAATGCCTACCTATATATACATATATATACAAACAGTGAGCTAAAACCCAGTGAATAATAACAGAGCAAAGGATTTAATGAATGATGTCCATCACAGAGTTAGAAATCAAATTCTTATCAGAAACAGATTCATATACATATTCGTAATCATTTCCATATTCAGATTTTGCATATAATCATACGTGGTACATCCCTTAGCGTTAACAAATTCGATGGCCCATAAAGGGACGGCCTTGAAGGCATTCTGATGACTCATGTGCACAGAGACATTTCTGATGACCCATAAAGGGACCTGATGACCCATAAAATGACGCATATCATATGATGCTAAGGATGCCACGAATAATTTTCAGAATTTTGGACAACCATTCATTCATTTCAAACATAGCATGGCATTTCAGATAACTAATTACTTCGTATCATAATATTCAAAAAATACTTAACATTAAACATAACTTTACAAAGTTATTACTCACAGATTTGGTAGCCCTAACTGGATGGTAAGGCGGCCCTTCACTTGTTCTGAGGCGCGTGACCTACAAGAACACACATACGAACAAACACTTGAAACACACGTTTGAATCGTACATAACTTATATTGTTTGCTCTTAGTGTGTTTCTAACCCTTAACCCTCATTGCTATGGCTTAAGTAAGGTTTAGGAATGCCTAAGATGCAATAAGAATGCCAAAACATGCCTTGGGACACTTAGGCAAAATTTCTGAAAATAAGGTCCCCGTTCGAGCGTAGCTTTCCTCCCTCGAGCGGACATGCAAAATGAGAGGGGTCGCTCGAGCGTGACATCCTTCGCTCGAGCGACCTGCAAACTTGGAAAAAGTACTGGTTGGTCGTAATCCACGCTCGAGCTACAACTCTCACGCTCGAGCGGGTCGACAACATGCAAAGGGTTCGCTCGAGCGTCAAAGTGGTCGCTCGAGCGGAGAGCTCATGTCTGAAAGAAAAATACTGAGAGCTCGCATTCTCCACTCGAGCGTAGGTTTCCTCTCTCGAGCGGATTGTGAAATCCTGGGTTTTTCCAAAAACAGATTTTGAGCTTCGGAATGCTATTTCAATGGCAAATTCGTACGTGGCTTGTTCAAACACTTGGAATGCTTCCTAAAACACAAATACATGATCATTTTCAAATGTTTAGCTCAAAACTCATGGATTTAGTAAATTTGAACTCAAAAGCTCATGCATGAAAGATTTTCAAATCGTTTTCTTGCTTTCTTCAAAACATGCAAATGATGACCAACAACCCCATGAATTCTAAAACCATGGATGTTAAAACCTATCACCTACTTCACCCACTTAAACCTACTCCACTAAACCTAACCCACTACACCACTACCACCTCACCTACTCCACTAAACCTAACCCACTACACCACTAAACCTAACCCACTACACCACTACCACCTCCACTTCACCTACTCCTTACCTACTACACACTCACCCTCTTCTATATATAGGAATCATGAATCATTGTAATAAATACAACATTAATCAATATTACATCAATAATACAATTCTCTATTTCTCTTTATACATTCAATTTCAACATGGTATCAGAGCAGGTTTAGAACCTAATATTTTCGCTTCACCGGCGGGCGGCAACCTCACCTTAGCCGTCCGCCGGACCTCAACCAAATTCCGCTAAAGTTTTCTACACGCCCTCACTCCGCCGCCGTATTTCACCGCCGCTTATCTTCCTCCGGCCAAATTCCTCTCAAACTCCATGTCTTTGCCACTGCTAGGCAGTCGGTCTATGCTTACAGGAGTAAATGATGTCAACACCTATGTATTAGAAGGAACTTGTGATATTGTCCATACACAAGTAGATTATGACACCACTCTGGAAGACTTAGTTGCTCAGGTGATGGTTCCTGTAAGATCCCCAGCCGTGGCACTTATTGTCACTAATGCCTTGATGTTGCGTATGCCTTTTGAAGCTCTGGCAGAAACATGTGAGGCATCATCTGCTTTCGACATGCCCTTACTGCTATTTGTAGCCCTTGTAGGGGCCACAGTTGGAGGACTGCTTGCAAGACACAGGAGAGGAGAATTGGAACGGCTGAATGAGCAGTTGCGCCAGATCAATGCAGCACTAAGAAGGCAAGCAAAGATCGAGTCTTATGCCCCCACTCTGAGTTATGCTCCTGTTAGTGGTAGAATACAAGAAAATGAAGTAATTGTTGATCCAAGGAAGCATGAATTGATTTCCCATTTGAAATCTGGAAAGAATTTTCTGAGGAACCAAGATCCAGAGAAGGCATTTGTGGAGTTTAACACTGCTGTGTTGTTTTTGAGAAGAGTCAGAAAACTTGCAACGAAATTCCTCTCTCTCACTTTACTTTTTCAAACCCACAGCTCCTTTTTCTTTCACCACATGATCCCCTTTCTTTTCTTTTCTTTATTTTCCACTTTCAAACCCACAATCCTTTTTTTAAATCAACCCACTCAACTTTCTTTTATTTTAATATATATCTATATATATATATGTTTATTATAACATATTGCACAGATTCACAAACCCATTTTCTTTTCTTCTTTTCTTTCTTTATTTATTTCTTTCTTTTTATTCCTTTATTACATCTATACCCATATCCATCATCACACTCTTTATTTATTTATTTCTTTTAATCACCTTTTGCACCTCCCTCACCGACTCCCTCACCACAAAATAGAATTTTTATTTATTTATCTTATCTTTTTTTTGTGTTCCATTTTTCACAATAAAAAAAAAAAACAAAAAATATAGCTTTGCACACCAAACCATATTTTATTCATCTCAGGGATCAACCCCGATCCAAGATTTGCCTCGAAAATTTTGCACTATTCTTCTATTCTTGATTGCCTATCTTTATATTTTAGAATTTAATCATCAATGTTTGTTATCATCATAAGGGAGAGATTGCTAACTCCAAGGTTTTTGAAAGACTATATAATTGATTTTGATGATAATAAAGCATAGCTAATTGTTATTCAATACTGTATTAGGAATGGTGGTTGAGCTGCATTTTGCTTTGGTATTGTTATTCACCAGGTTTGATTGCTCTGGATCTGCTCTTGGACTGCAGGGCAACTCTGTTTTTGGTCTTTCTTGCTTTGTCTTTTGTTGGTTTCTCACCAACTTGGGGTGCTAACAAATAATAGAGTGTGCATTTTGGTATCAAAATAGTTGGAATGATTTTGCTCACCACACTCGCTATCCTTTATTGATGGTATGGTATATGTATCTTGTATTATGTTATTCATCAATAATCTCTTTTTTTGCCAATAAAAAAAATAAAAAATAAAAAAAAAAAGTGGGGTTGGAGGCTAATTGGGGTGGTAGAAGTCACAAGGTAGGTGGGTGAGAACTAGAAAATGGGTCCTATGTGTATTAACCAACGCTTGGGGGGAGGGGGGGGAGTTGTGTTTGACATATCAGAGACTGATTGGAGGAGTAACTTAGGAATAGAGATCACTGCTCGCTTTTTGGTCCTCTCCATTTTATTCTCTAATTTAATTTTGATTGATTGAGTTTTAGAGCAAAAAATCAAAATTGATAAATTAACACAATGATTTACAATATCATGGATGACCTTTGATATAGCGAAAACTAAAATTATGAAACATTTTGGACATGTATAAAGTTTAGTTTTATAATTTATCATATTTTTCTTTAATTTATGTGACTGTTATTATATGTATTTGTTAATTAAAACTCAAAACAAACAAAAAAAAATGTGATTTTAATTTACATTTGTGTATTTTAATAGTTTTGTTACTATTGTATTCGAAATATGTTTTTATTATTTATTTAAAAGTTGTTGATAGGGAGAGTTATCAGCGACTAGTGGGTAAGCTTATTTACTTATCTCACTCTCGTCCTGATATTGCTATTGCTGTCAGTATGGTTAGCCAGTTTATGCATGTTCCTCATCAAATTCACTTAGAAGCTGTTATGAGAATTCTGAGGTACTTGAAATCTTCTCCTAGAGAGGGCCTTTATTTTTCCAAACATGATCACCTTAGAGTGGAAGCCTAAACAGATGCTGATTGGGCAGCATCAATAACTGATAGGAGATCTACATCAGGATATTGTACCTTTGTGGGCGGCAACTTTGTTACTTGGAGGAGTAAGAAACAAAATTGGTGGCTAGATCGGGTGCAAAAACTGAGTTTAGAGTTATGGCACAAGGTGTGTGTGAATTCTTGTGGATCTTCACCCACTTAAACCTACTCCAGTAAACCTAACCCTTGCTTGCCCTACCACCTCACCTACTCCACTAAACCTAACCCACTACACCACTACCACCTCCACTTCACCTACTCCTTACCTACTACACACTCACCCTCTTCTATATATAGGAATCATGAATCATTGTAATAAATACAACATTAATCAATATTACATCAATAATACAATTCTCTATTTCTCTTTATACATTCAATTTCAACAATGGACATGATTAAAGTTCACATACATGCAAGGACTTTTAAAACTCAACCCAAAATGATCAAATCAAAGATGATTTTACCATGGATACTCATGAAAGCTATTTATGTGCTCAAAGACCCATTTTCTTGCACTCTCAAGAAGGTAGCTCGAGACTCAGGAAATCGTGATGCATGGAGGATTAGCTACAAAATTTAGACATAAAATCCTTACCTAGAGCTTGTTCCCAAAACATGAGAGGTGAATCTTCCTATTCCTCTTCTAATCTTCAAGCTTTTGAGCTTTCTCACTCTAAAGCTAAATCCTCTCTCTCTCTCTAGCTAAATTCTCTCAGTAAGGAAATGCAGAAAAGAATGCTACAAACACTCTCACTCTCAGCTCCACAACACACACTCTCACACTTTGAATACACTACATGTGCATACACATGCATCAACCCAACACATCCTCAAGAGTTGCAATTCCCTACATTCAATATCACCAAATGCCTAACTCAAACTTCTCAATACCCCCACACAGATCCTCTATACACACTCACTTAAGGGTTTCAATCCTCTACACTTCACTTCATAAAATGCCTCCACACACTACCCACTTAATCACATCTAGGATCACGAATAGGAGTAGATTAGGGATAAATCATGCATCATCTTAGTTAGACACAAGTAACCTTAATCAGTCAAGGTTAGCCCACAATTCAATTAATCAAAATTAGTTCCAAGTATTCTAGTCAGTCAATCCATGAACTCAAGTTCAGTTTCTAAAAGTATTTAGGCTAACAACTTCAGATTCTAAGTAGAAACCATAACAGATAATTCTATGAATGACAGATAGAAAGCCAAATCATGAAGAATTACATAATAAACTCATAATATATTCTATTCACTTAATTAGCATCCTTAATTACTGATTAGTAGCTAATTACGGGTCGGGGTTATTACATTGCGTCTAACTTTGCAAAACAGTATGAACTTGAGATGTCTATTCGCAGTGCTAGTCAAAAAGATAAGTCCATTAAGGAGTTCTACAATGAGATGACGACTTATTGGGATCAACTTGCTTTGATGGAACCGTTAGATTTACAGTTACTTGACAGTTATACCAAGTATCGGGAGAAGCAACATCTTGTTCAATTTCTTATAGCCCTTCATGATCAACTTGAGCCACTTCGAGGAGCTATTCTTCATCGGTCTCCCTTGCCTTTTGTGGATGGTGCTATTCGTGAGCTTATTGCGGAAGAAACTCGGTTTAAGATGGCTCATGGTGCTCCTGCTTCCTAGTCAATTTTTGCCACTTCTCCGCTCTTTTCCACCCCACCGTCTCCTTTATTTCAAGTTACTGGTAAGCCCAAGCCTCGAGTTTCCATGGATGAGTGCAGCTTCTGTCATCGGAAAGGCCATTAGAAACATGCTTGTCTTAAATTTTTGCAGCCTTGGAGTCATTTATTTGGTCCACCATCCTCTAAGCCGACATCTTCGAGATCTCTCTCATCTGCCACCTTTTCTACACCAGTTTCTAAGAATACTCCGTCTTCCAATATGCAGTCTATGTTTGAGCAGTTCAAGTCTTTCATGGTGGCCAATCCAAATCTTTCATCCCAGGCCTCCACTATGACTACAACTCAGTTAGGTTGGTCTGGTTCATCCTCTTCAGGTAATATCCACACTTCGTGGATTTTTTATTCTGGTTGTTCACATCATATGACCCATGTTGCATCTCTCCTCAGTGATTGTGTCTTCCATTCTTCTTTTATCACTATTGCTACAGCTAATGGTTCTTCTATGCCTGTACATTCTATTGGTTCTATTTCCTCTTCCCATTTGTCTCTTTCTCTTGTATTTTATGTGCCTCACCTCTCACTCAGCCTTATTTCTATTAGTCTACTATCTGATTCTAGTTTTGCTGTTGTTTTCTCTTCTTCTCATTGTGTTGTGCAGGATCGGGTATCCAAGAAGCAGATTGGGATCAGGTGTAGAGTTGGAGAACTATATATCTTGGACAGCTTGCATGTTCCTCCAAAAGTGTCTTCTACTACATTGTCTTCTTTTTGTTTAAACAATAAGTCTTCTTTATTTTATATTTGGCATTCTTGGTTAGGTCATCTGTCGAGTGATCGTTTGAGGATGGTAGTTCAGTCTGGACACTTAGGCAATTTTTCCATTGATGATATTTCTGAGTGTTGTGGTTGTAAACTAGCTAAAATGTCTACTCTTCCTTTTAATAAAAAGTGGTTTTATTTCATCTTCTCATTTTCAATTGGTTCATACTGATGTTTGGGGTCCTTCCTCTATAGTTGCCAAGAGTGGTTCACAATATTATGTGTCTTTTGTGGATGATTACAGTCGGTTTACCTGGGTTTATTTGATAACTCGAAAATCTGATTTTTACAAAATATATTCTAATTTTCACTCCATGATTCGCACTCAGTGTTCCACCACCATTAAAGTTCTCCGTTCTGATTTAGGGGGTGAGTATTACTTGTCTGAGTTTGAGGAGTGCTTAGCTACTCATGGCACTATTCATCAGTCTTTGTGTTCTAACACTCCTACCCAAAATGGTCAAGCTGAGAACAAACATCGCCATCTCCTTGATACAGCTCGCTCTTTGTTACTCTCGTCTTTTGTCCCGTCTGTTTTATGGGGAGAAGTTATGCTCACTGCTGTATATCTTCTCAATCAAATGCCTACTCCTCTTCTCTTAGGCTCATCTTTGTATGAGCGTCTTTTTGGTGTTACTCCCAATTATTCTCTTCTTCGTATTTTCGGTTTTGCATGCTTTGTGCTCCTTCCTAAACAGGCACGCTCTAAGCTTAGTTCTCGTTGTGTCCTATGTGTCTTTTTAGGGTATGGCATTAATCAGAAAAGTTATCAGTGCTATGATCCTGCCACCAAAAGGCTATATGTGTATAAGCATGTCATTTTTTTAGAAAAACTACCCTACTACACTATACCTTCCACCCCTGTTCCTATTACCAAGGATTAATTGGTTCACATTAACCCATTTCCTCCTGATGTTTCTCCCGATGTGTTTGTTTCTAATCTTGAGGTCTTTGCTTTACCTCTTACTAGCATTTCTGATATCTCGCCAGTTATTTCCTCTCCAGCTTCCGCTTTCCCTGCTTCTCTTTTTGTTTATCAGCGCCGCAAAGCACTTCTGAACTCACCTGTCTCTAGCTCAACTGTCCCTCTAACTGCTTCTTTGGATCCCGCTCCTCTTGCACATCGCTTTCCAAAGCGAGACCGTCATCCTCCAAACTGGTATGGTTTTGGTAATACATGTTTTTCCCTTTCCTATCAATCTTTTCTTTCTTGTCTTCATACTTATTTTGAGCCCAGGACCTATAAGGAAGCTTGTCATGATCCTAATTGAATTGCTGCCATAAATGACGAGTCAACTGCTTTGGCTAACACTCAGACTTGGGATTTGGTTCCATTACCCGCTAGCAAGAATGTTGTAGGCTATAAATGTTAAAACCTACCATCACCTACTCCACCTACTACACCTACCACCACCTACTACCACCTACTACACACCTACCACTACCACCTACTCCACTACATCTCCTATATAAGGAGCCCCTCACCATATGTAATATACAACATACAACAATCAATAATACATCAATTTTAACATGGTATCAGAGCAGGTTTAGAACCTAATATTTTCGCTTCCCCGACGGGCGGCAACCTCACCTTAGCTGCCCGCCGGATCTCAACCTAGTCCGCTAGAATTTTCTACAGCTTGCATCAGCTCTTCATACTTTGAAGTCATTCCTTTTTCTCAATGAGGAGAAGGCCCATATTGTACTGGTATTCAAAAAGCTCATTTTCGAGCTTTGAAATCTTCTCAACAATTGTTTCGCGGTCCAAGGCCGCGTCTTTCTTAGTCCCACCATTTTCGCCTGATAAACCCATCGGTGGAAGCGTCGTGGACTCAATCAAAGCCACACTCTTACCCCTCAAACCCGTCTCGCCATTCCTAGGGTTTGAATTAGGATCCAAATCCGAACCAGACCTAGAACCGTCTTCTCACTCCTGGGTGTGAGAGGCCAACCAGACCACACCTTCCTCTGCGGCGTACACATCACGAAAGTTCCCCCAAAGTTGAAGATCGCAGATCCATCCTCACACTCTCTGAGTTTGGGGATTGAACAGATTTGCTCTCTCTCTCTCAACCTGATCTCTCTCCCTCTCGGAAAACACTGATACACTCAACGCACTCACAAACAGACATGGGCTGCCTCGGGTTCTCTCTCTCCCAAGACCCACACATGGGGAGGGATCTGGACATGCATTTCTTGAGCTGCATTCACTGCACCAACCCATCTCTCTCGACATCACCGACTCCTTTTTACTTTTCTTCTCTTATTTCTTTATTTTTTCTTTTACTTCCTTTACCACCACTCACCCATGTGACCCACTCTCCAACCATATATCTTTTGCAGAGCACTACCCTCAACCTACATTCTCTTTCTCTGAAATCCCATCATCATTTTCTTTTATTTTACTTTAACCCCATCATCCTATTTTATCATCATCATTATGTCTCCACTACCTAACGTTTTTTATTTTATATCTATATATATATATATATATCTTTTTATTATACTATATTACCCAAACACAACACTCTCTTTCCATGTGTTTGCTTGGTTTCCAATCTCCTTTGATCTGAGCAAACCAGACACACAGAGACATCTCTCTCTCTAATTTATTTATTTTTATTGTGTCCAGTTGCACCTATCAGTGGTATCTTTTTTATAGGATGAGACTTTGAAAAATTCTCAGATTTTGAGGAACCTACAGGAGCAAGGAATGACTGGGGGTTGGGGAGATACGTTAAATTTCTGCTAGGGGGCCCTTGTTATGAGTTATTGAGGACTATGTTGAGTTGGTGCTATCGTTACTACAAGTATGAGTACACAGGAAACGGTGTTGTTGCTACTCTTAATAATGGAGTCAAGGCTAGAGGTTTTTTGCCTTCTTTTATTTTTTTATATCTTGAATCACGAAGAGGGAAGCAAAAACTGCATAGAGCAACAGGAAGACTCAAACTTAGGAATCACGCCTAGTAAGGGCAAGGGGAGCGCTTCATCCACCAAGCCAACCCTTGGTATTGAGATGACATCTTGTTGATGGAAGAGTTTTCTTTTCGAGGGTCATGGAGAGGAGATGGGTTGACATGGGGTTGGCCATAGCTTTGGGTTGAGGAGAGGTGGCTGAGCCATCTGATTGAGATGGGGGTTAGGGTTGATCACAGGTCAGTTTGATTCGGATTTCTCCTTGGCCCGTCATCACTTGAACCGAATGCATCGGGTAATAAAATTGATCAACCATTGTCGACTGATTTGCTATTCAAAATCGACAGCATGAAACCATTCAATTTGGCTGTCGGATTGGTTGGTAATGCAAAACACGGGTACAATCATCAATGAAGAAAATAAACCAGTGAGTGCCAGTAATATTTGGAATCCTAGATGGCCCCAACACATCATTATGAATCAAAGAGAAAGGATATAAAGATTTATTATCACTCAATGGAAATGAGACACGATGAAGTTTGGCAAACTAACATACTTCACAATGAAAAAACTTATCATCCAAATTATGAAATAAACCAGGAAACATAGTATTTAATACAGAGAAAGAATGGTGTCCTAGACAAAAGTGATGAAGCGAAATTTGTGCTTTATTTGGTGAGAATTTTTCTGAGAAATGAGATACAGGTAGACGGCCACTGTCCTTGCCACTATAAGTATCCAGACAGTAGAGTCCTTCCTTCTTTAGCAAGCCCAATCATCCTAGTGCATGAACTCTCCCATTAATATATCCCATCTTCCCCCTACTCTTCAGAAAAAGTGTCTGACACTGAGACCGTGTAAGGTAATTCTGACCATTAAACAGAGAGGTGGTGATTTTAAGGGCAGGTTTTAGGTTCTCAGAAGTAGTAGTCATAACTCGACTGAGACTCCCCTTTAAATGGGTGGAAAGTAGTGGATGCACTAGATGGGTCAGCCATTTTTGTGCTACTATCTTAACCAAAACACAACATTAATCACAATAATGGAAGGAGGGAATGGAGTGAGCAAGCAATCTCAAACCCAGACCACTATGGGAGCATAACACTTAGATTAATGGGGTTATTTACTACCCCAAAGAATAAGTAAAAGGGTGAAACTTTAATCAAAATAACAGTTTGAGGTTTTAATCACAGTAAAAAAAATAGAGTATAAATAATTGAGAGACACTGACCCCATAAACTGTCTTCTACATCGGTCCGACACGATAAACTGTCTTCTACATCGGTCTGCCATAACCATACAGTCTTCTACAACGGTCTGACACGACCATACAGTGTCTCCTATCCATTTTTTATTTTTCAGATTATTTTCTTGTTTTGTTATTCTCTCCAAACTCAAGTTGGTTAGTTCCTATCCCCCTTGAGTTTGCGGGGGGCTGTTAAAACCTACCATCACCTACTCCACCTACTACACCTACCACCACCTACTACCACCTACTACACACCTACCACTACCACCTACTACCACCTACTCCACTACATCTCCTATATAAGGAGCCCCTCACCATTTGTAATATACAACATACAACAATCAATAATACATCAATTTTAACATGGGTCTATAAGGTCAAAACTCTTTCTGATGGTTCTTTGGAACGGTACAAAGCTCGTTTGGTTGCCGAGGATTTTTCTCAGGAGTATGGGATTGATTACGATAAGACTTTTGCCCCCGTTGCCAAGATAACTACAGTTCGCACTCTTATCTCTGTTGTTGTTGCCCTTCACTGGCCTTTGTTTCAACTAGATGTCAAAAATTCTTTTCTGAATGGGCATCTTGCTGAAGAAGTGTATATGCGCCCTCCACCGAGTCTCTTTTCCCCTTCTGGTGTTGTTTGTCGTCTTTGCCGTGCTCTATATAGTCTCAAGCAGTCTCCTCGTGCTTAGTATGAGTGATTTCACTCCGTTGCACTTCAGCTTGGTTTTCTCCGTAGTTATCATGATTGTGCTCTCTTTGTTCGGCATACTTCTGTTGGCCTTGTTCTCCTTCTCTTATATGTGGATGATATGATCATCAGTGGTATTATTTCTCGTGCCAATCTCACTGATAACAAAATTGTCAACACTCCTCTTGAGTTGCATGCTAAGTTTTCTGCTTCTGATGGCATTCCTCTTGAGGATCCCACTTTGTACTACGAGTTGGTTGGGTGCCTTGTTTATCTCATTGTTACTCGTCCGGATATGTCCTATGCTGTGCACATTCTCAGTCAGTTTGTTTCTGCTCCTCGTTCCACACACTGGGCTGCCTTACTCTGTACTCTGCGTTGCCTTCGTGGCACTTTGTTGCAATGTTTGCTGTTATCTGCCTCTTCGGACTTGACTCTTCGTGCCTATGCTGATGTTGATTGGGCAGGTGACATCTCTGATCGCAAATCCACTTCTGGTCTTTGTGTTTTCCCCGGCGATTCTCTCATATTTTGGAAGAGTAAGAAACAGTCTGTTGTTGCTCGTTCCACTGCTGAGGTTGAGTATCATGTCATGGCTCATGCTACTTCTGAGATTGTTTGGCTTTGGTGGCTTCTTTCTGATATGGGTGTCTCTCTTTCTGATCCGACTCCGTTGTATTGTGATAATCAGAGTGCTATCCAGATTGCCCATAATTCAGTCTTCCATGAGCGAACCAAGCATGTTGAAATAGATTGTCACTTTGTCGGACAGCATCTTCAGGTTGGCACTATTACTCTTCCTTTTGTTCCCTTCTCTTTTCAGTTGGCCGATTTTTTTATAAAGACTCACACTGTTGCTTGTTTTCGTTTTCTTCTTGGCAAACTTTCGATGCTTTCTGCACTCACATTCTCAGTTTGAGGGGGGGTGTGAATTATGTAGTTTATATTATTCATTAAGGATAGTTTAGTACTTTAGGTAGTTAGGGTTTGATTCTATTAGATTATATATTTGTACTCGTTTGATTGATCATTCGAGAATAATATACACAAGTTTGTTATCATTCTCCACACCTCAAACTGCCATCCTGGAGCTTGACTTAACTGAACCCTTCTCTTCTCTCTCTCTCTCTCTCTCTCTCTCTCTCTCTCTCTCTGTTCTTTGTTGTGCTTTAATTGCTACAGAAGCTCCGTTACATTACAAAGCCATCATAATTCCAATCTAAACTTGCAAGATTTGCCTGCCTTTGTTGTTAAAGTTGTCCAATCTTGAGGGTTTAATTCTTTTTATGATGTTATCAAAAAATGTTTAGTATTAGGCTTGTTAATACAATGCGAGATTAGGGTTCTTGATATGCTTGCATTGAAGAACAGTCTGTGTGTTTTGAACCAATATGATGAGTATAACTAAGCTGCCCATCAGCATCTGATCATGTGTTCATGTTAGCTTGAATTAGATTGTTACTTGTTTTTAATCATCTAATTGGGTTTTTTTCTTTTTTTAATTCATTAGCATTAATGATTAAGCAGAAAGCAAGTCTATATTCTTACTTACCTTCTGTTGTCAGTCTGATTTCCAGGACATAATGATCAACGCAGGCATCCTAAGGAATGTGTAAGATCTTGTCTTTGATCTAATTTTGTGAAACTTCTTTGGAGGGCAGAGATAGTTCTGAATTCTGGTTTTTCTAAATCTAGAGACAAATGCAATTTGATCATCTTCTTGCCAATCTGCATTGCATTTGCTTTGGTGGCAATGTCAATGTGGATGTTGCTGGCCCAGCACATCATTGTATGGATTGTGCTAACATTATTGCTGATGTTAACTGTAAAGATTGCAAGACTCCTTTGGGTTGGAAATTTGTAAGAATCACAAAGTTTAATTCTACCATTTTTGTGAGATTCTCTCTATATATCTATTCTTACTTACTTATTGACTAAAAATCTTCTGTATGTTTGAGCATGGTCCGGATTGGATTGGATTGGGATAAAATCAGGACCAATCCGTTTGCTGTATTTGTAAGTTTTGAAACTAATATATACTTCAACAGCATTTTTATATTTCATTTTTTTTCCATATTGATTTTATTCAAAATCTGCATGTAGGAACAAGCTCCTGATGTGGGATGGAAAGGATATGCTGTATGCAGATACATACAAACCTGTTGAAAATGCTTGAATTGGCAGTAGGGAAGACATTCACAACCAGAGCTGATGGAGGACTCATATACATGTAGTGTCAAATTCATTCATTTTTTCGCTACTCTTAAAATTCTGTTTTGGTGTTTTCTATGATTCACGTGGTACACTATACGGAGCAAAGAGGCATAAACTATTAGTTGCTTTTAGAACAAAATGGATTGCTTGGTGTATGATTTTTTCATGGTTTAGCATAAGCACGCAATACTCTATATGGACGCTTTCTATGTGTGTACTACAATTTCTGTTGTCTTCTTGTGATCTGTGATTAACATGTTTCTGCTGTTATGATAGAATGTAGATTTTAGACCATGTTTGCAATTAAGCCTACTTTCTATTATTTGTTCTGTTTTTCTAGGCCATTTATAATAAGGATTCTGAGCATCTGCGTTTGGATAGAGGGAAATTAGGGTAATGTCAGTGAGAAAGTGGCAAACTGAAAAATTAAACTTCGTAAACCCTGTAAATTGCATCCACAAAAACTTCCCACACCCTTTCAGGCATGCATGCTTCAAATGAAGTACTGCTCTTAAAGTTTTAGCATGAAACATCTATATAATAGCTGTCAAATAAAGACTGCAAGGAAATTTTGTTGATGAATTGAGCTTACACATTTGAGGTTTCTATTAACTTTTCTTCCTGAAGAATCACTCATTTGACCATGGTCCTTTGAATAACCCATAATACTTTATATAAGTGTAAAGAATGATAAAGACAGAGATGCAAAAGATGGCCCATGAACAGCGTGGGCAACCTGCGCGATCAGTTTTTGGGGAGGCAAGCTGCTGCTCCTCAGTTTCCCTGCACACAATTCTCTTTTGAGTTGAAGCAGAGTTGAATACTTTAAAAAGTGAAATCCAAAATGTAAATAAGAAAATGAGGCAACAAATGAGTGATCATGTTTGTGCACATAGTTGATCAAAAAATCATGTTTGTGCACATAATTCATGTGTTTGTGAAACTTGCATACTATAACCCATATTTGCAGTGAGAGTTAGGAAACATGCCTGGCCGTAGGTTCTGGTGGTTTAGTAATTGCTGTTTTTGCTGTTTCTTGTGCTTTTAGTATTTCTGTTTCTTTTGGTTTTGGCATCGCTGTTTCTTGGGGTTTGGTCGTTGGAGTTGGTGCTGTTTTTTGGGCTTCAGCACTTGGGATGGCTATGCTCTTCGCCTGTAACATTGTACGTAGTTTAGTATATTTGTTTGTCCATAAATTCATGGGAAAAACAAGTAGTCCAACTAACTCACTCGATTCCTGAATAGGAGATTGTAAAACAGTTGAATATATCTTTGCTTAGCTTGTTTCTGTTCTTTATTCAATTGCCTCCAAAACCCGTATAAAGATCCCATGTTCAAGACCTTATTTGCATAGATCTTCCACGAGTAGCTGCAGTTAGAAAATTTAACTCTTTAGATTTTTCAAATTCTTAATAAAAATTCATATAACAGACTTCTAAATTCTTTAGATCTTTTAGGGTCTTCTTACCATTCATATATGCGCTTGAGACCCTCTTGAGACACCTTGTTCCAATACTCAGCATCCACCTTACACTTCTCAAAGAAATCAGCAATCTTGTTGCTCGATTCATCATCGTTGTTAGGATCGACATGGAAACCCGAGACCCCATCAACAATAATCTCTGCCGGTCCTCCTTGATTGGTCGCAAAAGTTGGTAATCCACAGTTCATAGCTTCAATAACTGTCAGACCAAAAGCCTCATAAAATGCAGGCTGCACAAAAGCCCCCTTTGTATCAGCAATACACCGATACAGCTCTCCATTGCGGTACCTATCAGTCTGAGCTGCTATCCATCTGATCTGACCCTTGAGTTGGTATTTTTCAATCAAAGTATGCATTTTATTTATTTCTGCAATTTCTTCCCTATCTTTCGATTTTGATGGATCAAAAAACCCTGCAACAACGACAAGATTCGCCAAGTTCCTAAGCCTTTTGTTCTTCCCATACCACTCAACCAATCCAGTAATGTTCTTCACCGTGTCAAGCCTTGCCATCGAAAAGATGATTGGTTTCTTCTTGTCTGCCAGAAATCCTCTGTTCCAAATTCAGTTTCAGATTTAACACCAAAAGTTCGTTTATTTTTTAGTTTTTATTTTTTTAGGTATAAACGAGGGTTGGGATATGAGATGAGTGGAATGGATAGACTTACATGTGTTCGTGGTTATCCTTGTTAGCATAGAGTAGTTCTTCAATGGCAGGATGAAATGATGTGAATCGCTTGTTTTTCTCTGTGAAGGGAAAGTAGACTGCTTGTTCAGCCCCTGGGGCAGCAATGTTGAACTTTGGATCAAAGACGTTGATGCCTGAAACTACTCTGCAAAGGCCTGGCATTGTAAATGCCTGGTGGCTTTCATATTGTCCAGCCCTCTTCTTGCTGAAATTACAAAAATAAAAAAGTAAGTTTTGACCAATGATAGAGACAAAAATTTTGCGTCAAACAAACTAACCTTCCTGCAATTTCTTGATATGTGCTGGTAATGATGAAATCGGCTGAATTCATTGCAATCAAGTCTGCTGTGAATTGGCACGAGAAGTGGTACTTTGGATCCAACTCTTTCCATTTGACATCAGAATCTTCATACTTAGTCTTCTCCAAAGCATGAGCAATGGTTCCCTAGGTTTGAAGCATGCTGAACTTTAGATCCTTTATGACTCAATAATGAATAGAACGTAAAGCGATTTCTAAAATTGATTATAAACTACTTGACAAGTGGTCTAACCAGAGTGACTCCAAGTTTGCTAGCCATTAGAGATGCCACCAAGTTTCCATCAGTGTAGTTCCCAAGTATAAGGTCTGGTTTGCATTCCAAGTGCTTGAGGACCTTAGAAGTAGCATCCTAGAAATGGGAAAGAGAGAATTAAGAACACAAATGCTAATACATATACATTTTTTACATGGGACTTGAAGATTGAAAAGTTTAGGTGCGTGCCTGGGTAAATCTCTCAAGGTAAGGGTAGTCATCAAACCGGGATACCCATTGGTGCAGAACCCCTTTGTCTGTCTTGAATGGGACTCTAAGGATGTGGGAGTGTGTCGTGTTGAGGACAGGCTCAATCTCCTCGCTGCACTTAGTCCCTTTTGCATCTGGTATGAGACGAGTCACCTGTGGACATATAAGCAAAGCAAGAAAGACTTATAAACTCTTAAACCTATCTTCTCTTGGTCAATTAAATCATTTCTTGGTGAATTTTATGCATCGCTCACCACAAGAATCTGAGGCTTCACACTCAGTCCTTGCTGCTTAATTCTCAGCAGCAATTCCTCCTCTAAAGCTTTCACCTGGTCTAGAATGTAAACAACCTGTTGAAAATTCAAAAGCCTGTTAGTCCTGGTTGTACATCGAGCTTTGTATGTATGTACTATTGCTCATACTAATGTGACTGGTTGTGTTATATACCTGGCCACCAGTATCAGGCAAGCCAAGGACATCAGACTGGCCAAAGTAGCCATGGACTGAGAAGATCACGATTTTGAATATATTTGGAAGCCTTCTGAAGAACGATTCCATTTTAATTGGGTCCGGTGCTTGTAGTATCTCTGAAAGGATCTTCATTGTCTCTTTAACTCTGTCTGCGTTTTCTCCCCACCCTTTCTCGAACCCCCACTCTTTAAGCCTGAAAATACAAAAATAGGTTTGCACAATATATGAGATCACAAGAACTATAATTTACAGTGAACATAGAAGAAATGGTTACTTCTGCTCAAAATTTTGGTAAGGAGTGTTTTTTGGGAGGGCAGAAACGTAAACATCAGCCACGATCAAGCCTGCCTGAAGCTTGGAAACTGTGTTGATATTCTCATTGATCATAAGATTCTGCAAATGGAAACAAAATCAGCTTAGAATTATCGGATCTTTTATTGCCATTCAATTCAAATTACTTGTCTAGATACCTCTCCGTGATGATCTAGGGCAAGTAAGTACTCAAGCAAAGGCTTTGCACGTTCAAGATCACCACTAATCCTTGAGGTCATGAACTTTGACATGAAGTCAACTCCATTTCCAATAGAAGAAGAAAGGGTTAGGCGAGGAGTAGAGAAGTCACATGCTCCAAAATCTATTTCCAGTGCATTTTTATCCATTGCCCTGCATATCAAAATCATTTTACGGCACAATTGTTTTAAGAAAAACAGGTCTTGAAATTTTTGTTAAGAATTACACAGTAAAAGACAATGATCATGAACCATCATAAGAAAAACATAAAATTCACACGCACCAATTTTCATCGTACACTATTTCTTTGAGCTTCAAGTAGTCTTTGGCTGTTATCGAATCCACTTCTAGACTATTGGCGTTCACCTTAAAAAATTCCCAAAAACCAGGGCTCTGTCTGACTGCCAAAGCTACGTAAGGTGGATTTATAGCCACCTCCTGTAAAAGTTCAAATGAAATTACTGCACAAAGACGTGTATTGTACGTACTTTAATGCTAATAGGATCAATTTGTGGTTTACGGTAGTCTAGGCCTCATATAGATGTTTCTGTGCACTTTTCTATAGCATTATTGTTGTATGTACATGTACATATGTAGAGATGTACATGTAGAGGGAGAGGGAGTAAGTTTAAAACCTGGGTAGAACTGAAGACTTGGCCGAGTAAACCCTCCAAAACTCTGGCTCTTTCACGCTTGTCCTCGATTGCTTTGTCTATTACTTCCATTATTTGGTGGGGTTTCATCAACCTTCTCCCCATTCCTACAAACCTTGATTTTCCAGACATAGAACAAAAATTCCTATTTTGTTAGCCAAGCTAAATAATTAGTGAACTTCGCATGGTTTGCGTGGCAAAGTTTAGGTCAATGAGGTCATGTTTGATTCGCAAATGAGTGTAGAATATAACTATTTTATTTCAAATATCCTTTTATCAAGCATATGTGGGGGAGAATGTAGGACAAGATAAAATTTTCATCACAAAATGACTAAAATACTCTCCTTGGTAAAATTTTGAGATACTTATCCCAAACTCCCTTATATGAACATATGTGGGACTTTTTTTTTCCCAATAGAATGTAGCACAATTTATCACAGATAAAACTTTCATTACAAAATGACTAAAATACCCTTCTCCAGAATAAATTATCCCAGCTAATCTTATATATGCAAGGGGGAAGAAATGAAGAAAAAAAAAAAAGTAAATACCCAGAAAAGCATCTCTTCATGTAGTAACGGCTCTGTCTCAGAGCGTCGGACAAGCTGTCAACTACTGCAATATTTGAAGCCATTCTAATGTTAGATTTCGAAAGTGCGAATGATTTTGAATTCCCAAGAATGCTTCTTGGTATATATAGAGAGGGAAATCTAGGTGGACTAGTTAGAGAAAGAGAAAGGAAATTCCTTGGTGCGGAGTGTAGGAAAGAAAAGACTTAATGAAAGAAAGGAATTCAACATCGTGAAAAGCAAATCTGAGAGATTTACTTTTTCCCCACAATATTACTTAACTTATAGGAATGAGAAGTAGAGGAAAAGTATGTTTTCTTAATTAGATAATCCTTTAAGTTGGATGAACTTTTTATTCTTTTCTTCCCAACCAATCATTGACAAGCATACCCAGACAGAAACCCAAGCTGCTTAGACAAAACAAAAAATAAAAAATGAGATCAGGAACAAAACCGATTATAAAAAATAGTTCAGCATGAAAGATACTAGTTCTAACTAGTTTTAGTTCTATATTTTAGACTTTTTAGTTGTTAAAGCATGAATTTCACAACTAAGTACAAAAATCATTGAAATATGTGAACTCGGGGCCGGTCGTAAGTGACTAAGTTATAACATGAATTTCACTACTAGAGTCATCCGTGTATATCATTCATGAAAATATTAGCTCGATCAAATAATCTTAACATCTTAATTTTATCGCATTTGTCTCCAAAAAAATGAAAATGTGAAATTAACCCCAATATATTTGATAATCACACATATTCGAGCTGTTATAAAAGCTGATGCTTTTTTTGATGGGGGAAAACTGATAATTAAGAGCCAAGAAATTTTATTATACCAATGAATGTTAAATTCTAAAATTCATGATGAATTAATTTATTTCTTAAAATTGAAATTTCCAGCATCCCTCTAGACTACTCAGTATGTCATTACAAGTCAAGTGTCTTTGACTTAATCCAAATAGCTTATCAAGTGGATTTATGATGCATGTTAAATTATGCACCTAATACGATCCACCAAAAAAAAAAAAAATCAGATTTTGAACACTTAGTCTGTGCTTGGATCATAGATTATATCAAACAACTCTTTGTTTCATAACAATTTATAAAGTCCTTTTCTCCAAATTATAATACATTGAACAATTCAAGTGAACTTGATGATAGGAAATAGAAGGGGGGAAAAAAAGTCAAGTCAATCTATTCAACTTGATTTTACTAATTTGAAAAAAGTACCCCTGTTTTTTGGTATCATTAAAATAAATAAAGAAATTTGTTTTCAAAAACCAAAAGATTGAAAAAGTTAAAAAAAAATCATTGTTATTATTTTTGTTCAAAAATAAGCTTTAAATGGAGTTTTAAAAAAGTCAGAAATTTTTTCAAAAACCATTTCAGTTTCTGTTTTTTGGGTGTATTCAAAAATAACAATGAAAATCATTCAAATCTCCCTTAACCATCACTGACAGTTGGTTTGCACAAATAGATCAATTGTCAGACACTGATTTCTTTGGACTCTTTATTTGGAATGAAAATCATACAAAGGGTTGTCAAATTTGTCATTGCCTTTTTTCCATTTCCAATCTTCATGTCATGCAATTGATGGAGAATTTATGAAGTTCTAATCTTTTAGTCTGTCACTTCCGCACTGAAGTTCCAATGAAAATGTGAAATTAACCCCAATATATTTGATAATCACACATATTCGAGCTGTTATAAAAGCTGATGCTTTTTTTGATGGGGGGAAAACTGATAATTAAGAGCCAAGAAATTTTATTGGTGAAATATTGGGGCTGAGAATACTGATGAATGTTAAATTCTAAAATTCATGATGAATTTATTTATTTCTTAAAATTGAAATTTCCAGTTTCCCTCTAGACTACTCAGTATGTCATTACAAGTCAAGTGTCTTTGACTTCATCCAAATAGCTTATCAAGTTGATTTACGATACATGTTAAATTATGCACCTAATACGATCCACCAAAAAAAAAAAAATCAGATTTTGAACACTTAGTCTGTGCTTGGATCATAGATTATATCAAACAACTCTTTGTTTCATAACAATTTATAAAGTCATGTTCTCCAAATTATAATACATTGAACAATTCAAGTGAACTTGATGATAGGAAATAGAAGGGGGGAAAAAAAGTCAAGTCAATCTATTCAACTTGATTTACTAATTTGAAAAAAGTACCCCTGTTTTTTGGTATCATTAAAATAAATAAAGAAATTTGTTTTCAAAAACCAAAAGATTGAAAAAGTTAAAAAAAAATCATTGTTATTATTTTTGTTCAAAAATAAGCTTTAAATGGAGTTTTAAAAAAGTCTGAAATTTTTTCAAAAACCATTTCAGTTTCTGTTTTTGGGTGTATTCAAAAATAACAATGAAAATCATTCAAATCTCCCTTAACCATCACTGACAGTTGGTTTGCACAAATAGATCAATTGTCAGACACTGATTTCTTTGGACTCTTTATTTGGAATGAAAATCATACAAAGGGTTGTCAAATTTGTCATTGCCTTTTTTCCATTTCCAATCTTCATGTCATGCAATTGATGGAGAATTTATGAAGTTCTAATCTTTTAGTCTGTCACTTCCGCACTGAAGTTCCCCTAATTTCTCTCTATCCAAACACAGATGTTCAAAATCCTTATATTTTAAATGGCATAGAAAGAAAAACAGAACATTAATAGAAAGAAAAGCTAATTGCAAAATATATGCAGATAAAGCTATACAATACTTCAAACATGGTCTAACATCTACTTTCTATCATAACAGCTGAAACATGTTCATCACAGATCCTAAGCAGATAACAGAAATTGTAGTACACGGATAGAAAAAGCCCATACAGAGTATTGCTTACTGATCCAAAACCGTGAAAAAAATCAAACACCAAACAATCCCTTTCTTCTAACAACAACTAGTGGTTTTATTATGCCTCTTCTTCCATATGGAGTATCGTGTGAGCCACAGAAAACACCAAAACAGAATTTTACGAGTAACCGAAAAATGGATGAATTTGATACTATATGTATATGAGCTGTCCTCCATCAGCTGTCGTTGCAAATGTCTTCCCTACGGCCACAATTCAAGCATTTTTAACAGGCTCATTTGTATCTGCATACAGCATATTCTTTCCATCCCACATCAGTAGCTTGTTCCTACTCACAGATTTTGAAACAAATCAATAAGGATATCAAAATTGAAGTACATAAAAAATAAAAAATAAATAAATAATTTAAAAACCATATATACATACACTGAAAACTTACAAATGCAGTAGGAAACTTCCAGTTTTGAGTATTATGGTTTCCTCTGGCACTAAAACCTAAAATAGAGTAGCATTTTGTTTTTTAGTCAATATGTGAGAACAGATATATAGAGAATCTCATAAAAATGGTAGAAACTTCGCGTTTCTTACATATTTCCAACCGAAAGGAGTCTTGCAACGGTTACAGTTAACATCAGCAACGGTGTTACCATGATCTACACGATAATCTTCTGGGCCAGCAACATCCACATTAACACTGCAAAACAAAGGATTAAAGTTGCCACCAAAGCAGATGCAATGCAGATTAGCAAGAAAGAAAATGATCAAGATTACAACAGAGATCGGAATTTATCTTGAGGAGGTATGAAAATAAGATCTAGCACTAATCTTTAATCAGAATTCAGAGCCATCTAAAGAACTTACACATTTTTTAAGATGCCCGCGTCAATCATTATGTCCTGGAAAGCAGATTGAAAACAGGAGTTAGAACACAGATTTGCTTTCTGCTTAATAGGATCTGTGATGCTGATGAGCTAGCTAAAGAAAAGAAGAGCCCAAGTAGATAATTAAAAAGAAGTCAGATTTTTCTTGCAATCTAAAACAAGCTAATATGAAATGATTCTGGGCAGTTCAGTTACAATCTTGAAGTATTTTGAGAATTTTTTTATATATTTATTACCCAGGACACAACCCTTCTGGAGAAATTAAATTGGTTCAAAACACACACAGGCCCTTCTTTGATTTTCGGTCATGCTTTAAAGAATAATAGTCCAAGATTGTTCTTCAATGAAATTGAAATGAACAATAATTTTTGGTTCAATCCCATAATAAAGAACCCTTATATTAAATATTTGTTGATAACGTCATAAAAGCAATTAAACCCTCAAATTGGAACAATTTTAACAACAAAGACATGCAAATCTTGATTAAATTCAGAAACATTAAGATGGTTCTGTTATTATTAAAACACGGAGTACAGAAATCGATGCATAATTGAAAGCAACCAAAGTACTACAAAGAACACACACACACAGAGTATTCATACCCTGAAAACGAACTCTTGGGTCAAGGCAATGTGGATTTTGCATTGACGGCAGAGGAAGAAATGGACATGTGGAGGGAATTGAGCCATTGTTGAGGAGGGTGTTGATGTAGAGGGTTGAGGAGGGTCTTGATCCATCTTCTTCAAACAGCTTTGAAAGCACTAAGTCTTCTTCAGATAGAGAAAGTAATCAAATTCAAGAAAATAAAGTTACTGGGACTATGAACTACTAACAGTTTAAATTGTAGAATGAATGAATGAATATGAAACAGAGCATTGGCTGGGTTGAATTGATACTTACCAGAACAGAGGAAAGAATGTGGCCGGTGAGTCAGGTTCTTGATTCTGAAAGAACCAAGTTCAAGAAGTTAACCGCCGAATGACAGTTTGAGGTGTGGAGTATATGATACTGTGCGCACCATAATTGCTGAGCTGTACCCGCAGAATTTTATTTTAGATTTTTTGTGTCAAAGATAATATTAGTAAGTTAACATAATTAGATTACTAGTGGATGACACCCGATGTGTGTGCAATTTAAATAAGTAGAAATAAAAAATAATAATAATGAAATTAATATTATAATGTGTACTTAGCTTAAGTGGTATGAGTCCATCTCTTTGTTTAACTTTTTTTAAAAAAATAAAAAATACTACCACATGGCATGAGGAGAGTAAAGCTTCAAAACACCAAAGTTCCTGTTCACTTTATAATAGTATAAATAATTTAAGGTTTCCACGTTACTCCATCAGTTTCAACTCTTTATCTCTCACTTACTTACTCCATCAGTTTCAACTCTTTATCTCTCACTTACCATATTCTAAGGTAATAGGTATGATTGTTAGACATCACACCCTAATGTTTCGCACTGGCAGAATTAGAACACTAATTTTTTAATTTTAAAAAATTATACATGTAATAATAAAATTAATATTTATTCTTAATTTTTGACCCTCGTACATATATTACACTCTCTATTCTTATTTTTTTTAAATGTCATGTCATAAGAGTCTTAAATATTCATTTTACTTGATTTACAAATTTTTTTAAAATAAAAGTCTTATTCGGTGCCATTTTAATACTTTCTGTTTATAAAAATTTAAAAACACGGAAACATGCATCATTTTATTTTCATATAAAAGTAATTTTTTTTAAATTATAATTTCTTTTAAAAAAATTAGTGAAATATCTATCTCTAACTCTATATATTAGAAAAATTTTAAGATATTTTTTTTATTAATTAAGGTTTCTTTATGAAATTTCTTTGTGTCCGATCTAAAATTTATCTCAGTCAAATGAAATTTCTCTAAATTGGCCAAAAAAATTTGAGTTGAATTTTTTCCGTAAAAATATTAAGAAAACTTAATTACTATGAAAATACCATATATAATTTATCTTATAAAATTTTGATATCATAGACCTTAAAAAAAAACTCCTTCTCTGCCAAATGACGTTTTTTATAAATTTAAAAAAAAAAATCAAAACAATTTACAAAAGAAGATTTTTCATTTAAAAATAAAAAACAAAAATTATACAAAATCGCGCTAAACCCCATTGATGGTTTTAGGGTTCGCACAAACGCATTCGAGTCAATTGTAAGACACTCATCGAATGGCAAAAAGATTTCCTATCGAGCTCTTTGTAAGCAGTATGTCTCTCTCTCTCTCTCTCTCTCTCTCTCTCTCTCAAAAACCCTAATTTTGATGCCCCTTTGATTTTCTGTACGTAGGATTGTCACATTACACTACAAATGAAGAATTGTGGAGGTTGTTTTCGGCTTTTGGTGTGGTTACACAAGGTAATGCTCCTTAATTCCTCGTGGGTTTTTTCGATTCTTTTTTTGCCGGTTAGTTAGTGTTTGATTTGATGTGATTTTGTTGAAATTTGGTGATGATGTAGCATTTGTATTGTTGGGTTTGCCAATTTTTTGTGATTCAGCTAGGCTAGTTAAGGACACAAGAACCCAAAGGCCTAAAGGTTTTGGTTTTGTCAGATATGAGTCAGAGGTTGAAGCCCAGGCTGCACTCAAGGCCATGAATGGCAGGGTACTCTCTCTCTCTCTCAGAGTGAAATGTTTAGTTAATTGGAGAATTTGAACTAGCGTGTACTAGAGTTTTAGAATTATAATTTGAGAATAGAGTTGTATTTTGAGTTTGCGAGTTTTAAAATTATGATTCGACCCGTTGATAATGTGAATATTCACATTGACATGTTAACATTCACATTGTTAGGAGTGTAAAATTAGCCCGCAGCCTGTGGCCGGCCTGAAACCCGCCCGCGACTCGTGGGCTGCCCTGGGCGGGCCCGACCCGACCCGTTGATAATGTGAATATTCACATTGACATGTTAACATTCACATTGATTGGAGTGTAAAATTAGACCGCACCCCCTGGCTGCCCGAAACCCGGCCACGGCTAGTGGGCGGCCGGGGCGGGCCTAGCCCGGCCTGTTGACAATGTGAATATTCACATTGACATGTTAACATTCACATTGATTGGAGTGTAAAATTAGACCGCACCCCCTGGCTGCCCGAAACCCGGCCACGGCTAGTGGGCGGCCGGGGCGGGCCTAGCCCGGCCTGTTGACAATGTGAATATTCACATTGACAAGTTAACATTCACATTGATAAGAGTGTAAAATTGGCCCGTGACCCGTGGGCAGCCCGAAGCTCGACCACGGGCCGAGGCGGGCCCCGCCTGTTGGCAATGTGAATATTCACATTGATATGTTAACATTCACATTGATAGGAGTGTAAAATTGGCCCGCAGCCCGTGGGCGGCCCGAAGCCAGATCGCAGCCCGATGTGGGCTTGGCCCGACCCATGATAATATGAATATTCACATTGACATGTTAACATTAACATTGATAGGAGTGTAAAATTTGTCCGCTACCCGAAGCTCACCCGCGGCTCGGGGTAAGCCCGGACCCAAACCCGAGCCGCCTCGGGCCGCCCATAGGACGCGAGTCAATTTTACACTCTTATCAATGTGAATGTTAACATGTCAATGTGAATATTCATATTGTCAACAGGCCGGGCCGGGCCCGCCTCGAGCCGCCCACGGGCCATGGGCGGGTTTCTGGCAGCCACGGGGCACGGGTTAATGTTACACTCTTATCAATGTGAATGTTAACATGTCAATGTGAATATTCACGTTGTCAATGGGCCAGGCTTCGGACTGCCCACGGGTCACGGGCCAATTTTACACTGTTATCAATGTTAATGTTAATATGTCAATGTGAATATTCACATTATCAACGGGCCGAGCCGGGTCCGCCCTGGGCAGCGGGCGGACTTCGGGCCGCCCATGAGCTACGGGCCAATTTTACACTCCTATCAATGTGAATGTTAATATGTCAATGTGAATATTCACATTGTCAACGGACCGGGCCAGGCTCGCCCCGAGCCGCCCACGGGTTTCGGGCCGCCTATAGGACGCGAGTCAATTTTATACTCTTATCAATGTGAATGTTAACATGTCAATGTGAATATTCACATTGTCAATAGGCTGGGCCGGGCCCGCCCCGGGCCGCGGGCTGGTTTCGGGCAATCACGGGGCGCAGACTAATTTTATACTCTTATCAATGTAAATGTTAACATGTCAATGTGAATATTCACATTAACAACGGGTCGGGTCGGGCCCGCCCAGGGCAGCCCACGAGTCGCGGGCGGGTTTCAGGCCGGCCACAGGCTGCGGGCTAATTTTACACTCCTAACAATGTGAATGTTAACATGTCAATGTGAATATTCACATTAACAACGGGTCGGGTCGGGCCCGCCCAGGGCAGCCCACGAGTCGCGGGCGGGTTTCAGGCCGGCCACAGGCCGCGGGCTAATTTTACGCTCCTATCAATGTGAATGTTAACATATCAATTTGAATATTCACATTGTCAACGGGCCGGGCCCGCCCCGACCCGGGTCCGGGCTTCGGGCTGCCCACGGGTCATGGGCCAATTTTACACTCTTGTCAATGTTATTGTTAATGTTAATATGTCAATGTGAATATTCACATTGTCAACGGGCCGAGCCCAGCTCGGCCCTGCCCGGCCCGGGCCTGGGCTTCGGGTTGCGCACGAGTCACGGGCTAATTTTACACTTTTATCAATGTTAATGTTAATATGTCAATGTGAATATTCACATTATGAACGGGCTGGCCCGGGCCCACCCCGGGCGGCGGGCTGGCTTCGGGCCGCCCATGGGCCACGGGCCAATTTTACACTCCTATCAATGTGAATGTTAACTTGTCAATGTGAATATTCACATTATCAACGGACCGGGCCGGGCCTATTTTTTTGGCATGTGGGTCGGCCCAGACCGACTCGAGTTTTTTCGGGCACCCACAAGGATCGACATGGGCCGGGCCCCTACACATTGACGATATGAACATTCACATTGACAGTGTGAACATTCACATTATGGGTATTTTGGTAATTATGTCACCCATAGGACTTATTGAAATATAAGAAAATAATGTGAACTAAATAGAACATAAGTAGATGAAAAGGGTATTTTAGTCTTCTTATCTCAAATTGGACCTAATGGAATAGTCAAAAAGAATATGAGTTTGATGGAATAAACCTCTTAGAAAATGAATTTATCAAAAAAGCTCCCTAAAAAAAAACTCCTTCTCTGCCAAATGACGTTTTTTATAAATTTAAAAAAAAAAAAATCAAAACAATTTACAAAAGAAGATTTTTCATTTAAAAATAAAAACAAAAATTATACAAAATCGCGCTAAACCCCCATTGATGGTTTTAGGGTTCGCACAAACACATTCGAGTCAATTGTAAGACACTCATCGAATGGCAAAAAGATTTCCTATCGAGCTCTTCGTAAGCAGTATGTCTCTCTCTCTCTCTCTCTCTCTCTCTCTCTCCCTCTCTCTCTCTCAAAAACCCTAATTTTGATGCCCCTTTGATTTTCTGTACGTAGGATTGTCACATTACACTACAAATGAAGAATTGTGGAGGTTGTTTTCGGCTTTTGGTGTGGTTACACAAGGTAATGCTCCTTAATTCCTCGTGGGTTTTTTCGATTCTTTTTTTGCCGGTTAGTTAGTGTTTGATTTGATGTGATTTTGTTGAAATTTGGTGATGATGTAGCATTTGTATTGTTGGGTTTGCCAATTTTTTGTGATTCAGCTAGGCTAGTTAAGGACACAAGAACCCAAAGGCCTAAAGGTTTTGGTTTTGTCAGATATGAGTCAGAGGTTGAAGCCCAGGCTGCACTCAAGGCCATGAATGGCAGGGTACTCTCTCTCTCTCTCAGAGTGAAATGTTTAGTTAATTGGAGAATTTGAACTAGCGTGTACTAGAGTTTTAGAATTATAATTTGAGAATAGAGTTGTATTTTGAGTTTGCGAGTTTTAAAATTATGATTTGAAAAGTGAAAATTTGTTTGGTTAAGAGTTTGCATTTGAGGTTTGAATTTTTGATGGGACATATGAAATGAAAAAAAGTTGTTTGGTTATGAATTTTGAAAAGAGTTTTCAAAACTTAATTGAAATATTTGTAACTCATAATCAAACACACGGCTCAAAACTCTTTTGAAAATTCTATTCAAAACGCATAATCAAACTCGTTTTAACATTCAATTCAAAAAAAATTGTCATTTTGATTTAAAAATAATAATTTCTATATTTAAAAAATATCAAAAACAAATATAAATTTTTTTTTTCCCAAATAACTGATAACGATTGGCGATTGGCAATTGGCAATTGCAAAAAAAAAAAATTTACATTGTTCCGATCAACCGGCTAGACATCTGGGGACGTCCGGACGGATGATCGGATAGACCCAAAATTCAAAAGCCTTTGCTTTTCAAAATGGAGAAGATGAAAGAGAGAGGGTAGCCAAACGTGAAAGAGAAATATGTTTTGAAATGTGCGGTGGAATCACATTTCCAAAATTCCATCCAAACAATGCATGCAAACGGAGGGGTGGAATTATGATTATAAAGCTGCACCAAAAACAGCGAATTTTTATTTGTAGTTTTTTGCAGCACAGAAACAATTTTTAAAGCTCAATTACTTATTTGTCTTTGGGTCAGGCAATTACTTTTGTCTATTCATTCATAAGTTTAAGATAAACAATAAATAATGAAAGTTCATATTTATACTCATCAGATTTAATGCTAAAAATATTCCATACCATGACCAAAGTATTTCACTTGAAAGATTTTAGTTTCTAAAATTTAAAATGAATGTTAATCTTATCAATTATTATCTTGCACAACAGCATACTTGCATGGAATATATGTCTCTTATCATGTTCTGCTTTTCGTTCATGGATTTGTTGTTGTCAAGGAAATGTGATGGTCACTTTTGCATCGGTAACCCAATGAATCTATAAGGAAAAAAAATCATATAGCTGTCCCTTGTTTTATGGTGTGGATGTTGGAGAAACTTCAAAAGGATTTCCATTAGTGGGTGACTTTTAAGTATCACTTGGTGAATTGGGAAAGTGTTTGTGTGTTGATTAAAGGGGGAGGATTGGGTAGTCAAAGGCTTAAGTTAGTTACTAGACCATTGAGGGAGGAGTTATTCAAGTAGGTTTGTTTAAAGGTGGGTAATGGAGGTCAAGTGTGATATAGGCATGATTCTTCATGCGGACATAGACCATTAAGGTTTTTCCAAACCTTAACTGTTTTGCTATGGACAAAGGACCATCACTGAAAATATATTTCTCCTTCTCCTCCAAGGAAGTGGTGTGGACATCTAGGTTTGGGAGAGGTTTGTAGGACTGGAAAATTGATTCTATACTTAGCTATGTCTCCAACAATTTTTGGTCGGTTACATGAATCTTGTTTTACCATCCTACTCAATCAAAGCCTTCAAAGGCCATAAGTTAAACCGCAAGCTAAAATGCCTTTCTTTATTATCTCAAACCAAATTAATTTGTTCTCCCTCATCTCCCAATGTTACCTTCAATGTGGATAATGTCACTCTTTGTCATCTCCTAAGCAACGTGATTCTTGTTTCATAACTATGAAATTGATTACATGGCAGCCTGTTTTGAAATGCTATACAATTGTTCAGTTCAAAGCAAGATCAGGGCATGATGACGTGGAGAACTTCACAGAATGGGATGTTCTATGTTTATTCTTTTTCTTAATCTAAGCCTTCTTTTTCTTGGAAACAATTTGGAGGACTAAGGCTCCGAATCCCAAGGTTGTGTTGCTTGTGTGAACAGCAACACACGAGGTCTTTTTGATGATTGACAACCTTAGGAAGAGGCATAAGGGTATTATGGGGTGATGTTGTATATGCAAAAGAGTGGGGAGAGAAAGTGTGAACCATCAGCTTCTCCATAATCTTGTGGCTTGTGAAGTGGAGTATAATTTTCTTGGCCTTTGATGTTGAGTGGGTGATGCCTTCTTCAATGGTTGATCTTTTATGATGAGGGAGGAAAGTGTGGGGTGTTACCCCATTGTCTGATGTGTTGCATTTGGAGAGAAAGGAATTTCATGTCTTTTGAAGGTTTGGAGCCACCTGTTCCTAGATTGAAGGGATGAGAGAGTTGTTTCCATTTTCTACTTCATGTTTTGTTGACTTTTAGGGTGGATTTGTAGAATCCTTGGATATATAGCCTTTAGGGGTTCACTGAATACCTTGTACAGGGTTTGTGTTGTTAAGGTACACTTAGAAAATATGAGGAAGAAGAACTCCGAAAATATGAGGAAGAAGGAATATATTTCTGTTATATTCAAAACTTCTTATTTTACAAGACCAAATGACACTCCTTATATAGGAGATATTACAAACATCATTATAACCCATTATATGCCACTTACATATTATATATTACCACTATCTACCACTATCATATTATATACATGCCACTATCTACCACCAACACCACTATCATATTCTATACATGCCACTATCTACCACCAACACCACTATCATATTATATGCATTAACACAAATTTCCAGCAGGTACCAAGTGTCCCAAAGACTTAAGCTATTAGGATATTGGTCCAACAATATTTATCAGATTGTCCAACACAATCCCTCACACACCTCTGTTTTGCACATGGAGATGCAAATAGACATGCATAAATAAATTTTTTTTAAAAAACATTGTAATCTGTTTGATCAGAGTAGGCTATTGGGTATGAATGTGAAGGAAAATTCCGAGCTCATATTTGAATCGATAGTTCAACCAGTTTAGTCAGTTGTATGTAGCATCCTCCCCCAATTTTATCATTGTAATCTCAGCTCTCTCTCTCATATATTTTTCTTGCCTTATTCCCCTTATTGATTACTAATACCAAGAAGTGCAGATACAATGGCTTGCTCTCTCTCTCTCTCTCATATGTCAATGTGAAAATTTGAACACCAAATGCATATTTGAAGCACTCATTAGAAGAATAAAAACAAATTTCTAGCAATCATAATATTCGTTTCTGTCAATATCAAAGTTTGAACACCTGGTATATATTTGAAGCAAGACAGATTTCGGAAAATCATAATATCCATTTTCTTTCCCCGTCTGCTTTACCCCCAAAGTGGTTGGGAATTGAAAAAATAAACCTTTGCTAAGTTCAAATCCCCTTGCACACAAAGTCAAAAATCAATACTATTCTGAAATATAATGGCTAAACGTGTTAATTTGTCCTCATTTTGTGGTTATACATTTTCCTGTTATTGGCTGCTATGAGATTTTAATTCTTGCAGTTCCAGATTTTAATTGCTAATTCTTGTGTTGATGTTTGGCACAGATAGTACATGGAAAGCTGATCTTTGTGGAAGTTGCAAAGACTAAGAAGCAAGGAGAGGAAGGTTCTTCCTGAATATAAAGATTTTGTGTTTTGCGGTTGCAGACCCATTTCAAAATGAGAAAGTACTGGAAATTGGAATCACTCCCTATAAAATGTTTAGTCTGTAAAATAACAGTTTGGTATCAAATATGTGATGTACTTCTGCTACCATCTCAACTTGCACTGATTATATTTTTTTCTTCTTCTTTCTCTGTTTGCTATTGTCTAGTTCCTAGGAATTGTGAGCTTGATACCACATATTGTTAAATAGAAGTACAAGTAGGGTGAGCAAAAAAATCGCAAACCAGTTTGGCTGTTTTGGTGGTTTGGTCTAGGTTTTTTAATGTTTCCTTCGGGCGTGGATCACAAAATAAGTGAATTGCAATCTGCAGTTAGGTTCACGGATTTACAGATTTCAGTTCCTGTTTGAAATTGAATCAGACCATTTCTTTTTCTTTTTCATTTTTTTTTATTCAAAGGAAATTAAAGCAAACAAGCAGAAAAGGAGTTCAAAACAACATCTAGAGGGTAAGTCCCTCACTACAGTTGTGTCATCTATGAGAAGAGCTGTGACTTCATCAGGTGGATCCTCAAGAATCATTACATGTTCTTCTTGAGCTACTCCCAGATTAGCAAACCTATCAGCAACTTTGTTTCCCTCTCTCAATGTATGGAGCAGTGAGCAGTGACACCTCTGGAGGAGAAATTTAGCATTTCAATGAGAGCCTTGAGAGGAGAATTTGGATTTGGACCATGTTGAATTTGGTGCATGGCTTGTTCTGAATCAGTTTCAATTTCCACATTGGTATATATTGCCCAAATTTCTGCTTCCAGACTTGTGCAGTGGCCCAATTTGCCATGGTAGCCCCATAACCAAGTGCCTGTCTCGCACCTCAAAAGTCCCTCATATCCTGCCTGCCGGGGTCTCCCTTAGAACAACCATTTGTATTTAGCTTAAGTTCGCCTGCAATGGGAAAACACCATTTCATTAAGTTTGCCTGCAATGGGAAAACACCATTTAATTAGTTTAGGTACAGAAAATTGGGGGTGAAGAAGGGATTGAAAAGCCTCATCAATCTCATGGACATAGTTTCTAATGGTCTTGAGGCTGTTTTGGATTGGATTCAAAGTGTTTTCAAAAACCATTTTGTTGCGATCCTTCCAGATCTGCCAGAGTAACAATAAAAACCAAAAACCAATTAGATCCATACAGAGTGCTATTGATTTTGAAGTTAGAGGACACCCAGTCATACAGAGATTGGTCGGATCCGACCTCCCACCAAGAGTTGCTTTGGATGTGGATCCAAATTTCCTTAGAGTGGACACAATCTACACATATATACACATTTAGTCTGGACACTGCAAACTCATTTACCCAAAAGTTGCAGCTCTTTTCAGGGATTGTATTTTCAAACACAAAAAACAATGAGAACTTTGAAAACATTCATCTTTGGGAATCAGTTTAAACCAAACTCAGTGGCACATCAATGGGAACCAAAATGGTGGAAGAAAAGAGATGAAAATCAACAGCACATGTAATGCCTTAAAAATTTGTTGTAGAAATTCTGATTGTCGGGTTAAATAATTGTACAAACTCGAATTACCTATCACTAATTGATCCCCAAGAAAATACAACTGTTGGGGAGAAAACAAAAAACCTGCTTTAAAATTAATTCACATATTGCTACAGCCCAAAATGGTGAAATGAGAAGAGAGACAACAAATATAACATCTTAATCCGGATCATTATTTTCCTTTCACCCAATCAATTCATTGATCTGCTTCCACTCCATTACACCACTGCTGACATAAAATCAAAAATAGAGTTACCAAGCATCCATATCCAATAAATAGTAACTGTCATTAACATACAAATTAGGGTTTTGGTAGCATAAATCAAATATAACAAACGAAATTCCTGTATCCACAGCCTAAAAGGTTGTATCAACAGCCACCCCTCATACATACCTCACATGTCCAGTGGCCAAACATATGAGAGGACTATCAACGCAGATATTAAGTTTGTGGGTTTAGTCCCACCCAAATCAGAAAATAAAACCACATGTCTAGAACAAACCTCACCACCAAATATAAAATCTACGAACTTTAAACAAAGGGACATAGGAAGACCGTTAAGGCCTGATTATTTATCTGACAACATCAACTAAGCTGCCATAGAAATTAGAAGCACATAATCTCTGACTAATGCAGCCTATACCAAATTCAATAGCACACAACAGAGTTATTGAACATGCCCATCTTTTAGGATGATAAACAGTTTGACTCACACTCTTCAATAGATGAAATCATGAGAAGTAGTCAAAGGAAAACATGGTGAAGCATCAATGCAGTATGTAGAGGTTAGAACTGTACCAATCACTAACAATTGAGCTACTCATCAAGAATTGCTTGTGGGAAGTGAGTGAACCACCTAAGTAAAAAACAGAACTCAAACTACTTAAGTATTGAATCAAACCTCAGTTCCTTGTGGTCACCCCTTGCGTCCATATTGAATGCGTATACATCTGCCATCCAATAACTGAAATGGAGCATAAGACAGAATTGAGATATAATAATACTGTTGTTGGAAAAAAGAAAAAAAAAATACCTAGTTACCTCATATTTACAACAAAGTGACAAACTATGTCAAGTCACTCAAAATGTACCTGGCCATCCATTTCCCTCAAGGCTGTGCCAGCTGCAGTCTCAGAATTGAACTGCACAAACCCATATCCTTTTGATTTTCCGGTCACGTGATCACATATAACTTTCACTGCTAAGTATGACAACGTAAATTGCCTTAGATGAATTTCACAGGTATATAGAATCCCAAGGATATTGTGAGTCATGTTACATCACCTTCAATTATTTCACCGTGCTGTCCAAAAGCATCCTTGAGAACACTTTCATTGGTATCATAACAAAGCCCTGCAACGAAAGCATGTATTGCTCACACAACTTGGTTTTAAATTCTAATACCAAGTTTAGGAAGGTAGTAATAAGAACAAGGCCACTTTATAATTGTTGTTTTATTACCAAAGAATTATAGCATCCACTGCTCTACTTTTCTACAAAGCACAGGTAATACATTGTTCAGGATATTGCTGCATTTTTACTCATTTAAACACAAGACCAGTATCACGACTGTACAAATATTACTCACATTAACAGTATCAAAAATAATCTATGAATTTGGCAATTGCTGAGCTTTCTTTACAAGAAACATCTTTTAGGCAATCAACAAGAAGATTGCCAGCAACCCTCAGCAAAAAGAAAACTCACAGATAAAATTAGGCAATCTCGCTTCTCTAAAATTCACTACTACCATGGTTTGTTTTCAAAATGACCGTCAGTCCATTATCTATCTTGAAACACCTTAAAACCACCTTGCCACCATTTCCACCGCGACCACTGCCCACTTCTCAACCTGCACCGTTGTTGCCTAATCATAAATGCCAATTGATCCTTCAATGGCAGTCAATTTGTTTTACACCCCCTAATTTATCCCCCCCCCCTCGCTTCTCTAAAATTCACTACTACCATGGTTTGTTTTCAAAATGACCGTCAGTCCATTATCTATCTTGAAACAACTTAAAACCACCTTGCCACCATTTCCACCGCGACCACTGCCCACTTCTCAACCTGCACCGTTGTTGCCTAATCATAAATGCCAACTGATCCTTCAATGGCAGTCAATTTGTTTTACACCCACTAATTTATCCCCCCCCAAAAAAAAAAATATTTGTTTTACACCCCACTATTCAGATTTATTTTAGCAGCTTGCCCCTAAATCTTTCTCTAACCTCTGTAGGCATTTATGGATGTGAATCATGTGATACTTAAATCATCAAATGAAAAAAAATAAAAATAAAAATAAAAAAATTGTGAACTTCATGTGGGCATTTTTCAAATTTGAGGAAGATATGGATCCTTTTTTAACTCAACACAGATTTTTTAAACTCATTCCATTGGAAGATGTACAACTATACCAAATTATTTGCCTAGTGTTGATTTAAAATGCCTTCACTTTATTGTTCTTAACTAAATATAGATAAGTGCGTTTTAAGGGCTGAATCCAAAGTTTATCTCAAACATATATTGATATTTCTAAATAAAAAAAAAACAAGTATGCATACAATTCTGTGAATGCGAAGATTATGAATCTATGATTAGCGATTATCAAAGAATGAGAGTGAGAGAGAGAGAGACCTCCAACGAACAATTTGGTGCAAGAATGGCGCAATATAAGCCATCTAGCGAAGGGGGACGAAGAAGAGAGTCGAAGACCACCACTCCCACACTGCATCTGACTTAACGTGCGCTCCCCTCGCCCTTCGTACAGCGCATAATAGCAAACGGCGCAAATATCCGGAAGGGCCAAACAAGAGAACTCCCCTGGTAAACTAATCTGGTCTGGGTGAACTCATTATCATGACTTCCCATTTTTAAATGATTTTAATTTATTAATGTTTAAAATGATTATATATTTTTATATTAAAAAAATTTTAAATTTAAAACTCACTAATAAAGAATTGAATTTGGCCAATAAATTTTATAAAATCTCATTCATTTATGTTTATGTTCTAAACAAACTTCCTAATGCCACAATTTAGGTAAAATAAAGTGAAGTTTAGCAATTTTTTTAGAATCTAAAAAGATGATAAATTGTTTTTTAGTGAAAACTTATCGTATTATTTTTATAAGAATAATTATATATATAATAATAAATCACATCATTTCTTTTATAATGACATTTCGAGACAAATAAATCATTTTAATAAAGGAGATAAAATTAAAAGAATGATTCAAAATTCTTAGAACAAAACAAATACTAAGGGCTAGTTTGGCATGTACTAAATAAGTCAAAAAGTCACTATCTTATTTAAGTCACATCATCTTATTTAAATCACATCACCTCTCTAACACATCACATCAAACCCAACCCAAACCCACAAATAAGTCAAAAAGTACACTTTTTTAGGACATTCCAAACCAACCCTAAATACGAGATAAAATCCAACTGTCTCTCCATTAGTTAGGATTTACTCTCCCAAACACTAGTTTGTTTGTTTAGCAAACATTCCTATAAAAAAAATATATTTGTTTGTGGAAAACTAACTTATTTAAACAAGCTAAACACATTTGCATCGCTTTTCTTTTAAGCAATAAAACAATTTATTTGAAAATTTCCAAACAAAGTCTAAACTATAATTTATTTGGTTCGATCCACGCTTCTTTTTAATTCTAAAATCTCTAAAACCATTTTTATTCTTAGCTTCTCAAAACATGGATCCAAATAACCCCTATCAAGCCTGCCATTCAATTGCAGATGAAAAAATATACATTTGAACAGGAATCCCCAATTTCACACATACAAAAGAGTGTGTGCGTACAATGCACAAATCAGAGAGGTAAAAGGAATAAAAGAATCAAAATTTTCAATTTGTTTTTTACAAACAAGTGAAAGAGGGATGCTTCACAGCAAAAGCAAAAAACCCATATCTCAATGCCCATTTAGAAATTTGATATTTTTTGACTTTTCATTAAAAAAAATAATGTATTTAGAATAATTTTTCTAATTAAATAAATAATTATTAAAAAAATAAATAAATAATTAATATGTATTATGTGTCTAGACCATCTCTAACGTTGCATCAGATATTTCATCAAATTCAAATTTGATAAAAAAATGAAAGAAATATCAACTCTAATATTATCATCAAACTGATGTCAAATGGTGAGAGAATCAAATATTTTATCAAATGAATTGAGTGTTTATCGTTCATCAAATTTATAAGTGACCGTTAGGTCAGACAATTGTACTTTCTTTATCTAAATCTAATTTTTGGAGATCTTTCCAAACATTCTCTCGAATAAACAAACTTGTTCAGACATTTGATAAAAATTTTAAATTTTATGTTAGAGCATCTCCAACGGTGTAGCAAATGTTTCACCCAATCTGAGTCGAAAATGGGTCATTTCCTTAATTTGATACTTCGCGCTCCAACGGTTCAACATCAAATCCGTTTCATCAAATTTGCGTTGGGTAACCGGTTGGTTGACCGGTAACGGCAAAATTTTTTTTTTTTTTTTTTTTACCGGTTTGAACCTTTTTTTTTTGAACTTTTTGAACTTTTGGTGGTCGACCGGGTGGTCAACCGGCCGGTCGACCGAGTGGTCGACCACCTAGGCAAAATTTTTTTTTTTTTTTGACTGGTTTGAACCTTTTTATGAACGGTCTGAACTTTCTCTGGGGCGACCGGTTGGTTAACCGATTGGTCAACCGGATGGTCGACCCATTCCTCTCATCCCAACGGTTATGAACAGTGCTTTGGTGAAATGCTTCGCCTGCACTCAGTTTGGTACCATTTTTGCTGAATTCTGGATTTGATATCGATTTGGTGAAACCGTTGGAGCTTAAAAAAGTGACTTTTTCACCAAATTTTAAATTTGATGTCAGGTTTGATTCACCGTTGGAGATGGTCTTATAGTGCACCGTATCAGATCAAATTTCTCATTAAATTTTTACTTAAATTTAATAAAAAATTTGATACAACATTAAAAGTGTTCTTATATTTTACCAACAAAACTAAATTTGTAAACTTTTTTTTATTTTTTCAACTAAAAAATCTCTCACCAAACCAGTTATCAATCTCCCCACTAAACAAGTTGTGAGACAGCCAAAAGCTGCACACTATTGCTCCCACTAATAAAGCATCTAATCAATCAGATGCCATTCCAAATCCAATTCTCACCACCCAAACCAACCAAATAACAATCTAGAAATGCTAGTCAGTTGAAGTTTACTTACTAGTATTAGATTCGTACCAGAAAATGAGTTTTTTTACTAGGAAATGATACAAATCACTAATTAGTAATTGCATTAGAAATGTAATAGTAAATCTATATGTGTTTTGTGTTTTAGTATTTTTTTTTTTACTTGTCATATCATTAATAGTAGTGTTAGTGATAAAAATTTAATAAACTATAACATTGTTGTTACTTACTATTAAATTCTTACCAAAAAATGATTGTGAGGGTAAATAGTGAATAATGTTAGGAATGACTGATTAAAATTTCTTAGAGCATTTTTAGTGATGTATTTTTTTTATTCAATTTAAGTAAAAATTTAAATAAAAACAATAATGATTCATCCACCTTTTCCTCCCACCCCCTTTGACCACCTCTCTCTCTCATTGGTTACATTTTCTTTTTCTTTTTCTTTTTTTTTTCTACTCCTCCAATCACCACCCGCCATGTAACAAAAGAGGTAAGGAGATGACCTCTAAAAGGAGATCCCAAACATTATCCAAATAAAAATTTCATAATATCACATGCTTCAATAGAAGATTTTAATTTTCACTAAAACATCAATCAACTAGGCAAATATTCAATTCAATCAATAGACCGGCTAATGCAAGCCTTTCATAAAATTTTACAAGGAGACAATCATCTAAGGAAACAACCGACCTAACATCCAATCAGTCATTCAATGATAAAAATAACATACAATTCTAACAGTTATAAACAATAAAATTATGAAAAATCACAATCATTTTCAATTTGGTTGAAAGATTTATCATATCCTCAATTTAATACTCAACTAATAAAATGATTGAAACAACAAAGTTATTGGTTGAACAAATAACTCATGTATGAAACAAATTTAAACCAAGTTTGAAAAGTCTAAATAAATGCACTTTAACTTCTTTTTTTTTTTTTGTATTATGTGTAAAAAAAATAAAAAAAAAATATTAATTGATGTGACTTAAAAAAAATAAAATAATAAAATAAATACACTTTTTTAAATTAACCAAACTTGGCCTTAAATCAACAACGGAATACAACTCATTCCCAATCATGTTTATATGAAATCATGTATGAAACAAATTTAAATCATGGATTGATAATTCTTAATAAGATAGTGAGTAAACATTCTAAATTTGTAGTGTTACTTAATAACAATTCCAAACAAAACCCACAAAACCCATCAAGAAAGCTGATGACCATTGAAAATGAAAATTGAACTATGATTGACGGGCAAACCAAATAACCAAACAAAAGAAACGAGTGGTTTCATTTCATCCATGGAATCAATAGGAAATCCTAACATAAACAGAGTAAAAACCATGACACTCTTTTTCACTAATTTCCCCTAAAAATCAGCCAAACAAGTTGTTCTAAGCCCAAATATACATACAGAGGGAAATGAATTTGGGTGAGAGGATAAAGCTCAAGCAGCTTTCTTGGGGGACTTGGTGGCCCTGGATGGAGATTTGGGTTCCTTGGTGGCCTTGTCAGACTTCTTTGGCAAGAGAACAGGGTTGATGTTTGGAAGAACACCACCATGTGCAATTGTCACACCAGCCAGCAATTTTCCGAGCTCTTCGTCATTCCTCACTGCCAGAAGAACGTGTCTAGGGATGATTCTGTTCTTCTTGTTATCACGGGCTGCATTTCCCGCCAATTCCAGTACCTGTAAACAAACAACAAATATTAGCAATAAAGAAAGAGTTCAAACTTCAATTTACCCTAGGTATGGTAAGCTGAGAAAACAGAGAAAAATGAAACAAAAATCAAATTTTGAATCTAATGACTTCTGCTGATCTGTTTTCAGCTTTCCAGCAGAAGGTTCGATAACTGAAGAAATGACATTTTCAACCAATCGCGAATATTTGAAGGTATCAGAAACAAATTTCTACTCTAGTCATGGAATTAATAGAATACCAAACACATGCGAAAGAAAATGCAAAAGCACCAGCCAAGGAGTGTTAAAAATGATCAAAAACTATCTTTCTTTTTTTTTCCTTTTTTTAACCTCAGTTTCTTATCATCCAAACAGTACAAATAAATCCAAAACAGCAAATTAATCGAGAAAATTTGAAGTAATCAGAAAGAATTCCTATTCTAGTCTTAGAATGTCTCAAATACCAAACAGATGCTAGAGAAAATGCAAAAGCACCAGCGAAAAGAGTGTTAAAAATGATCAAAAACTATTCTATTTTACCTCATTTTCTTAGCATCCAAACAGCACAAAAAAGAAATCCAAAACAACAAAAGCCGATCCAGAGACAACGAAAACCACCAAATTCAACAACAAAACCAAATCCACTCACAGATCCAGAACAAATGATTATGTATACGGAGAGAGAGAGAGAGAGAGAGATTACTTCAGCAGCTAGGTATTCGAGCACGGCGGCGAGGTAGACCGGAGCGCCGGTTCCGACCCGCTGAGAGTAGCGTCCCTTCTTCAAGTACCGGCCGATCCTTCCGACCGGGAACTGCAGACCGGCCTTGACGGACCGGGAAACCGGCTTCTTCTTCGGACCGCCGCCCTTCCTCCCTGCGGCACCCTTCTTTACTTTAGCGGCATCCATCTGTGTAAATTCCGAGGTCGAAAAAGACAATTCTGACCCTGAAAAAACAGAATATTAACAATCCACTCCGACCTAGAAATTGTCCAAAAGGAGCGTTTCGGATTGGCGTGGAGTGTCTGCTGACGCGGTCTTGTTTATATAGTCCTACCTGCTTTGTGTGACGATTGATTTTGACCGTTGATATTTTCTTTGATCGACGGTGGTGGGCGATTTGTGACTCGATCCGTGTGCTTCGAAATAGACCAATGACGAGCGGGTTTGCACTTAAAGATTTTGCGCTTATTATTGAGCGGTTTGTGTTTGTTTGTATTGGATTAGGGTGGTGTTTGGGAAGCAAGTTCCCAAATTTTTTTCTCATTTTTTCCATTAAAAGACAAAAGTTTTACAAAATCAAAAAAAACACATACAAACAAAATATCACATCCAACCCCATAATCATTTCACTTTTTCTCTCACAAACATCACATCCAACCACATAAAAACCCAACTATCTTCCCAAACACCAAAAATTTTTTATCTCATAAAAACCTACATCTACTAAAATCTACATAAAAACTCACTTCCCAAACACCATCTAGGTCTGGTTATTAGTGAGAGAATGGTTAATGAAGAAATTAAATAAAAGTGAGTTTGTTTTGATGGTAGTGGGAGAGATTGTTAGTGATGAGATTATTAATTTATTTTTATATAAAAAAATAAAATAAAAATTATTTCTATATTAAAAAAATTAAAACAAATATATATATTTAGTAAAATAAAATAAAATTTTCCTATAAAATAGATTCAATCCGCATACTATTTTTCTAATTTTACCCAAAACTCAGCCAAGTTAATCTCAGGGAGATCACTAAACCTCTTACACTATCAATCTCCCTTTCTAAATTATTACCAAAGAAACAGTGAGTGAAACTTTGGGCTAGTTTGGCATGTACTAAATAAGCCAAAAAGTCAAAAAGTCACTATCTTATTTAAATCACATCACCTCTCTAATACATCACATCAAACCCAACCCAAACCCAACCCAAACCCACCAATAAGTCAAAAAGTGCACTTTTTTAAGACATCCCAAACCAACCCTTTATAATCACGACAATTTAATCCAACCAATCCAGCCACCACACCGATAAACAAACATGGCCATAGGATTTATACTAACACACAAGGGAATAATGTGCATTAGGCCTCGTTTGGAAATATGTTATTTTAGTAATTTTTTAATTTTTTTGCTAAAATGTGAGGTAAAAAAACTAGTAGTATGTTTGGGGTAGTTTTTTAACTTTTTACGAAAAAATATGTAAAAAGTAGAGAGAAAATAAAATCTTTGACTTTTTTATATAGGTTATAAACTTTTTGATTTTTTTAATAAAACAGTCACTAACTCTCCATTTTAGCCAAAAAGTCAAAAAGTTACTAAATTAGCCAACAACTCATACAAAAAAGTCAAAGATTCTCTTTTCTCTCTATTTTTTTGCACATCTTTTCGTAAAAAGCCAAAAAGTCATCCAAAACATACTAATTTTTTTTAGCTCATATTTTAATCAAATAGCCAAAAAAGTTACTAAATTAACATGTTCCCAAACGAGGTCTAAGTCCCGCTTTGGTTTTTGTTTTAGGCTAAAAAATCATAAGAATACAAAAAAGTCAAAAAGTTCAAAAATCATAAAAGGACAAAAAAGACTTGTCATTCCAAAGTCAAAAGATCAAATAAGAAAACCAAACAAATAAAAAAATTTCAGACTAAAAAAATCAAAAATATTAAAAAATAACTAAAAAAATCATTGCCAGACAACCCTAATTTTGGCTACTCTTTGTGTACTTGTTTAACACCACATTAGGCAAAATGTAAAGCTCAATCCAAGGTTCAGATTGTTTGAGGCCTATATTGGATGGGAAATTTCTAGTCCCAAATTATGAGAATTATTATCTCCTCTGTAGCTGCCATTTCTTAGTTTAGAATCTCTTTGGTTGAATCATTATTCCAATCACAAATATTATGATAATACCTCTAATAATTTTATATTTATTATTTTGGGACAAAATTAGGATTATGTTAATTAATGGAAATTTCTTGTCAAATATATCATGATTTCCCATTAAAATAAAATAAATGCTTGCCTCATAAAATTATTCGGACTTGATCACCACTTAAGTGCTTGATTCGTTTAAAACATTATCTCCATAAATCAAATTAACAATTCTTAGTAGATAAATAAATATAACAAATGATAGTTATCGTAGAGGCAGCGACGTAAGATTGTATTAATTTATTTTAAAATATTCAAATTTGTATAGGGACTAATAGTATTTTCAATGGGTATATTAAAATTGTGTTATACAATAAGGCCATGTTTGTTTGGGCGGACTGGATTAGCATTCTCATGACTAATAGTCCTAGGATTACGAATCTGTTGGATTATGAAAACGGACTTTATGGAATAAAACTATACATACATAGGACTAAATGGGTTAAAAAATTCCTTCATGGACTTCTTGGGTTAAAACACTTCTAAATTGGACTTATCAATAAAAATCCCATAAATAAATATAACAAATGATAGTTATGGTAGAGGCAGCGATGGTATACTTAAGTTGTCCACCGACGTAAGATTGTATTATTTTATTTTAAAATATTCAAATTTGTATAGGGACTAATAGTATTTTCAATGGGTATATTAAAATTGTGTTATACAATAAAAGTGATAAAAATAAGGATAAGTTAGCGATAAATCTAATTTAAAAATATTGTAAGACATTAGGTCTAATAAATATTTTTTTTATTACTGAGAGGTTCACCATTTGTAAAATAGTTTGATAAAAAGTCTTTTTTCTTATTTTAAAAGATATTTTATTTCTAATTTTACCCTTTAATTTATTTATCGACTTTCATTGGCTATCTATTCAACTTTTTTCCTATCTGTTCAGATTTTGTGCCTATTTGTTCAAAAAAATTCCTATTTGTTCAAATTTTTTCCTATTTGTTAAAAAAATTTATATCTGTTCAATTTTTTAACTATCTGTTCAAGTTTTTTCACTTATTAGTTAAATTTTTGTCTTTGTTGAATTTCATAAAGCCTGTTTTCCTAATCTGTTGAATTTCACAAGCCTATTTTTTTCTATCTATTTATTTTTTTAATTTTTACCTATTTAAATTGTGATATACATAGAAAGAAAATAGAGACTAATCTGTTAAAATGTTTTTATCAGTTCAAATAATTTACAACAAGAACAATTTGAATCACCAATAATGGCTTTACGATCAACCAATTTTAAAAAAAAAAAAAAAAAAAAAACATGAATTGTTTTGTTTTATTTGTTCAAATATCTTGTATATCTCTCTCTCTCTCTAGTGCAATCTGTGTCATCAACAACAAAAAAAAAACATAGAAAAGAGTAATCTAATTCTTTTGAACAGATGGGGGGGAAAAAAGATGAACAACTAAGGTATTGTGGGTGTTGATTTTTGACCACACAATCAAATAGGGAACTTAGCTGGAGAGCACGCAGTAGAATAAATTAAGCCAACCACCTGCCAACAATAAGATGAAAATACTGCAGTGGTTCGTCAACCTGGAGACACTCCGACAATCAAGTCAGTCAACTTATCTCTCAAAAATATCAAATAAGTACTCAATGCACAAGTCAAAGTATCACAAATAAAAGCATATCTTAGACTCACAGGGTGCCTCACTTTTATAATGGTTAGTGTCTAACTTCCCCTAGAAGTCTCACTTCATGGGACTCTACCCTTTATAAGAATAATATATATCACAACTCACACTATTCAGATTAAGATGAACTTCCTCAATAGTCTTATCTCTATCCAAATAGGTAGTTTGATATCATCTAGAACTCTAGTCTTCTATCCAAATATCTCAGATTCTGGTATTACCGCACCATACATCAGCACCATGGTTTGCCTATGTGGCACATCGGCTAACAACCTTGGCCATATAGACTACCAAAAAAGTATGTCCCCACAACTACCCTTTAGGTTTTATTACCTCAGCAACCTGAAATAATGGAACCTACATCGTTGCATCTTCCAATATGTCGGCTAAACAACATGCTAGATATACTTTTCTGACCAAAATCATAACTCGTGACGTAAAGAAACAAAGACTCAAATGTCCATTCGTCAAGAATCAAGAATCAAGAATCAAGAACCAAGAACCATCATGTTCTATCTCATCCAGGTCCAACATCTCAACAGAGATCACACTACTAGCAGAGATCATGACTTGCTAGTTCAAGAACATCAAGATCCTAGTATCAACTCATCAAGAACCAAGAACAACATTTTAATCGAGATCGTCATGTTAACCAAGATCAACATCTCAACTGCAATCATCATGTCAACCAAGATCAACATCTTAACCGAGATCATCATGTTAACCAAGATCAATATCTCAACTGAAATTATCATCTCAACCAAGATTAACATCTTAACTGAGATCATCATGTCGACCTAAATCAAAATCTCAACCGAAAGCGTCATCTCAACTGAGATCCTCATCTCAACCAAGATCATCATGTTTGGCTCGCCCAAACGAAGCACTTTATGTAACGCCCCAAATTTCTAGCCCAAATGATAAGACAATAAGCATGACTCTTTCAAGGAAAACTGAATATAAATCTCCAAATTTACATTACATGATACAATAGTTCTTCATGAAACAGTACATTAATGCAACAACAAGTAAATAAACAAATAAGTACTCCCAAGGGTTTACAAGTTTCCAAGGCTTGAGCCTGGTTACACAAAACGGTTATTCAAACCCACACAAACACAGCCATTGGTTTACACACAGAGTCACAACAAAATGAGAGCATTGTACTCCTAACACACATTTAGCCCCTAGTTGGGTGGGATCACTACATCTTTTCCTGCACAAAAATCCCATAGGGTGAGCATAAAGCCAGTAGGAAATTTTTAACAAAGTATATACATTTTATACAAGTCTCAAGAGATTAAATGCACACGTCATGCTATATACTTTTCGAAGATAAATCACATTTTCATCTTTTGAAAACCATCATGCTCAATGATATCATGCCATTTCAATTGTTCAAAACTTAACAATTTATTTCAAGGGCGGTAAATATGACTCTGGTAATCCCTAGGTCGGTG